AACAATGTAAATAAAAATTTATTTGTATTCCTAGGAAGAATGTTGTATTTTACGAAAATAATTGTATTCTATGACCAATTTTATTTTCATTTTTCAAATTTATAAAAGCATTTTATCAAATTTTTTTTTAAATAATTGAATTCTCAAGAAAAATTTTATTAGTTATGAAAATAATTGATTTCAAGAGAAGAAGTTTATTCAACTTTTTTATTAATAATTAAATTCTGAAGAAGAATTGTATATTTAAGATAATTGAATTGTATATAGGAGAACTTTAAATTAACTAAATCTTGTAAAAAATTTTGTCAAAATTTTTCAAAATAATAGAACTTTTAAAATAATTTTATTTAAATTTTTCGAAATAAATGAATTTCTCAGAACTATTTTTTCAATTCTCTGAATATATTTGAATTCTTTGGAGAAACTTCATTAAAAAAATAAAAATAATTGAATTGATATACGAAGAAATTTATAAAAATTTGGTAAGTATTTGAGTTCCTGTTAAATTTTTATTAAAATTTTGTTCAAGTAATGGAATTCTTTTGGAAAATTTTATTAAAATAGTAAATATTAAAAATAATGGAAATGAGGAAAATTTTTGAAAATAATTGAATAATTGATATTTTCTAAAATTTCAAATTGAAACCTTTGAAGTTTATCTATTTATAAAGTTGTGAACGCAACTCTTTTGAAATCTAATTAATTTTGATATTTTTAAGTAAACTTATTACTTATAAATTATTTAATGAATAATAATTGATAGTTCTTCAAGAATGAAGTTACATAAAAAGAAATTATTGTTAGAAATAGAAAAAATTGAAGGGTTTGTATTAGAATTCTTGTCAACTTCATAGTTTATGAGGCAAACAAAAAAGACCCAAAAATTCCGAATTTTTTAATAAATTCTAAAAATTTAATTTTTTCCAGTACTTTTATTAAAAATTCTTGACTTTTCCCTGTCTTACCCTGACTTGTGGCAACCCCGCATTAATTGGTTAACAAGTAAAAGTTATAATTCGGACAAATATAAACTTGAATTGCGTAACTTTTTCCATCGAAGATATTTTTGTTGCGATTTAATATTGTCTAAAGAAAAAAAAAGTTTACCCAAAGTTCGCTCAAAAATCACTCGTTCTGTTTAAATTAACCATTTTTAGTCGCTAGAAAACTCTGAAAATATTTGACAAAAAAATTGTGTCAAATTGACATTATGATGTCACATATATAATATTAAAAGCATTTTAATATAGTTTTATTATACACAAACATAAAATTTTACGAGGCAAAAAATATAAAGTTAAATAATAGCATTCAATTATTATCTGGAAAATATTATATTTTTCATATAGTATTAGAATTTTTCATTAAAAACTAATATTTTGTAAATTGTGTATATACTGTCAAGATCAAGAAATTGCTACAGCATATGTTTCTTTAAATACAGTAAATACTACTTCTGGCTCCATCTAACATGTGTACGAAGAATCTTGTACACTGTTGGGACAAATGGTAAATGAAGTTAAGGCCTAACAGTAACATAGAAAGGAAACTCGCTGCTCAAAAAAAATTCTAACAAATGAACATTCTAACACTTGGGGAATCTAACAAATAAACGTTCTAACTTTTGGACAATCTAACAAATAAACATTCTAACTTTTAATAATTCTAACAAATAAACATTCTAACTTTTGGAAATTCTAACAAATAAATATTCTAACTTTAAGAAATTCTAACAAATAAACATTCTAACTTTTAATAATTCTAACAAATAAACATTCTAACTTTTGGTAATTCTAACAAATAAACATTCGAACTTTTAGAAATTCTAACAAATAAATATTCTAACTTTTGGCTATTCTAACAAATAAACATTCTAACTTTTGGAAATTCTAACAAATAAACATTCTAACTTCTGGCTATTCGAACAAATAAACATTCTAACTTTTGGAAAATCTAACAAATAAACATTCTAACTTTTAATAATTCTAACAAATAAATATTCTAACTTTTAGAAATTCTAACAAATAAACATTCTAACTTTTAATAATTCTAACAAATAAACATTCTAACTTTTGGTAATTCTAACAAATAAACATTCGAACTTTTAGAAATTCTAACAAATAAATATTCTAACTTTTGGCTATTCTAACAAATAAACATTCTAACTTTTAGAAATTCTAACAAATAAACATTCTAACTTTTAATAATTCTAACAAATAAACATTCTAACTTTTGGTAATTCTAACAAATAAACATTCTAACTTTTAATAATTCTAACAAATAAACATTCTAACTTTTGGAAATTCTAACAAATAAATATTCTAACTTTTAGAAATTCTAACAAATAAACATTCTAACTTTTAATAATTCTAACAAATAAACATTCTAACTTTTGGTAATTCTAACAAATAAACATTCTAACTTTTGGAAATTCTAACAAATAAACATTCTAACTTTTGGAAATTCTAACAAATAAACATTCTAACTTTTGAAATTCTAACAAATGGTTTTTCTAACTTTTAGAATTTAGGCCAAAATAAGGCGTCTCAATTATTCGTCTCCTCTCTCTTAGTCTCGTGGCGGCTGCCTGCGCAGGCAGGCAGGCAGCCGAGGTGTGACCGTGCCATTAGGCTATTCAAGTTGGGTGGGGGAAAATTCAAGATGGATGCTAACTGGTGCACAACGTGCACAAACATTAAAGTTAATATAAATATTAATATTAAAGTGTATGGGATAGAGTCTAATTTTTTAAATATCTCGCTTAAACGAAATTTTTAACCATAAGTTTATTAGGATTTTATATTTCATTTTTAAAGAACTATTTTTTGCAATAATAAATATCGATTTTATTTTTTTATTGATTTTATTATTGCAAAAAATAGTTCTTTAAAAATGAAACATAAAATCCTAATAAACTTATGGTTAAAAATTTCGTTTAAGCGAGATATTTAAAAAATTAGACTCTGCCCAGGGCCGCCAAAGTGTAATGTAATAGCGAATTCGGTTATCTGCACCGGAGCTTGACTCTCGGAGTGCTCCAGAGCAGGAGTAGCATGTTCGGTTTGACAAATGTGCTCTAGTGCAGACCGTTTGGAGTATTCGCTTTAGCAGCACTGCTCCGGCGCAGATCGTTTCGAGTATTCGTTTTGGCAGCACTGCTCCGGCGCAGATCGTTATTTGCCCAAGGGGCACACGATAACTAATAGCGAATTCGGTTATCTGCTCCGAGAGCGATCTTGCTCGGTGTAGGAGTATAGTTTACTCTGCTCTCAAAAAGCTGTGCTCTACTCTGAGGCAATCTATGACGTCATGAACACTGGCAAAGTTCGACTGTTTTTGGAGCAGGAGCACAACATGAACTGCTATGGTGTAAAGGCGCTAGCACAGATCCTACTGCCTGCCTGCAGGTTGACATGGTAACACATAGGAGTAAGAGAGTAAGAAAATTCAAATTAAATGTTTTTTCTCTCTCACTCTTATGGCGCCTGCCTGCGCAGGCAGGCAGGCAGTGAGGTGAGAGTGTACCTTAAAGGCGCTCGCACAGCTCTACTGCCAGCATAAGGCTGGAGTCCCATGACAGCGTTTTGCGTTGCGTTTTGTAACTAGGCCATGAGTGTGAGAAAGATACAGATATAGGTTTTCTCTATTTGCACTCATTGCCTAGTTACAAAACGCAACGCAAAACGGTGCCATGGGACTTGACCCTGAGAGTAAGAGAGAAAAAACATGAAATTTGAATTTTCTGACTTACTTACTCTCATGTGTTACCATGACAACTATGCATGCATTGGCATGCATGCAGAGCTGTGAGAGCGTCTTAAAGCATACACTGCTCGTTTGGCGCGAAGTTTAAATTTAATTAAACTTATATAATATAATGTAATATAATATTATATTTATTATATTATATATATTATTATACATTATATTATGCAATATATTTTCTTCTTAAATGTAAAATTATTTTACTTAAAATTAAATATTTTATGATGTATACATAAATAATACTTTTAAAAGCAAAAAATTTGATATTTTTATTAGAATTTTAAAATCTTATTCGATCAATGTTTTGATATAGCAGAATTGTTAATCACAAAATTATCGAATAATATTTCTGATATAAATTTTGTATACACTATTTGACATTTTGAACTACTAACAACAACAATAATAAAATAAGTGAAAAGGTTATTTCTTTGAGACCAAATAATTACATTATAATGACAGTGAGGTGAGGCCGCAGTCTCATGGCAGCGTTTTGCGTTGCGTTGTAATGAGAGAGAATGCAGCAAACGTATATTTGCGTCTTTTTCTCTCCCATTACGACGCAACGCAAAACGCTGTCATGGGACTCCACCCTGAGGCCGCAGTCCCGTGGCAGCGTTTTGCGTTGCGTTGTAAGGCCGCAGTCCCATGGCAGCGTTTTGCGTTGCGTTGTAATAAGAGAGAATGCAGCAAACGTATATTTGCGTCTTTTTCTCTCCCATTACGACGCAACGCAAAACGCTGCCTTTAAGACCTTTCTCCAATAGGTTCCCAAAACTCTGTGTCTGCGTCGGTTGCTATAGCAACACATGCTAAAATCAACGCAACGCAGTCATTCGCAGACAAACGCAGAGTTTTTGGATCCTATTGGAGAAAGGCCTTTAAAGACCAATCACTCAGGATATTATTCATGGTCAGGGCTAAGGGAGCATTTACACCTTCGGTAAAAATTTTCAGAACGGAAAATTTTTCATTGGAGTAAGAGAGGCAGACTGTGTATCTGACTCTCTTACTCCAATGCAAATTTTCCTTTCTGGACAATTTTTACAGAAGGTGTAAACGCTCCATAATCAGAAAACGAACTGAAGAGAAATTTGTCCAAAACGATAATTACAAATACAGGGTGTCCTATTATCAAATAAAATAATTTTGTTTGAAAATTATTTAAAACAATTGTTGTTGTAGCGAAGAAGATTTAAAAATAATCTTAAATTCTACTGACTGTATTGTTTTAAACAATTTTTTCGATAAATTCATATTTTATTCCAAGTTATATACTTCTGATTGATAAATTAGAGTGCGACTGTGGGACACCCAGTATCTGTATATGTATAATGTATATAGTTTGTTTGAGCGGTTTGAGCTAAGCAGTCAAGTTAGTAAAGTTGACGAAAATTTGAGAAATATTGTTATTTAAACATCCTCATAAGTGTTAAATATTCATGTTTCAAGTCGATTTCCTTGGTAATTGAAGTATGTTTCATGTATAAAGTTATATTATTTATAATTCGTACATATTGAAAAATTGTAGTTGTATATGGGAAAAAGATTTTGATTTTTTTGAGGTTAGGAAACCATGATGATCTTGATCTTTTTTTTAAAGAGACTCTTTGTGAACGTGGTGCCCTCTTGTAAATTATAACTCTTGAAGAAGATGTTTATGATTTGCGGTCATTCAGTATTTTCGAGATAAAGAAAACCCTAGTGTGAGTGAAATTAGGCCCTATTTTTCTTGCCAAAGATCAGCATTGTCCGGATCGTCTATTTTTTTCCGTGTACTTGTACATGCGTTCTCTATTCCTTGTGTGCATTAATTTCATTTTTTTTCATTAATTTCAACTTGTGCTGAAATTTTCTTAAGTTCACAAAATTTTTCTAAAATTCAATCATTTTGAATGTACATACATCAAAGGGCAAAGTTTACAAATAAGGAAAAATCATAAAGTGAGAGTGTCAAGTTATCAGTGAAATTTTGACTTCGTCCATTCAAGCGCGTTTTTAGAATAAACCTTGGAAAATATTTTCTAATTAATTATTCATTATTGCCGGGATTACGAAATATTTTTTTTTCTCAAATAGCGTGAAATATTTTCAATAGTTGTTTTGATTGATTTCAGTTAAAAAAATTCGCTTGTAAATCATATTTTAACAGTTATGTATTTCTAAATAGTAAAATATAAAATTTTAATTTTTGTCATTTGTCAGAAAGATTAAATTGGCTTATTTGTATTGTTTAAGAAAGATAAACAGTTTTACAGCTATAGATTGTTTTGAGTAAAGCAATAAAGCATGCAGGTTATAATTTAATCTGAGATGACCTTGCTCAGTCATGCATATAAATACAATAAATAGTGAGAAAATTAATGTAATTTGTTAACTGCGTATTCTTTATGTTATTGAATAGTTTCGTCACTGGAGAATTGGAGGTCCACATTGAAAGTGCGGGTCATGCCGACCACTGGTAGAGTAATGTAATGAATAGCTGTGGGAACTCAAATATTGGCACTAAGCTACGAGGATCAAAGATCTCGGAAAACCAACAAGATTCTGTTGAAAGCAAGCAAGAAGAAAAGTTGGAGAAAGACGACGATATTTTAACTGGACATAGTTTAAACGATTATAATATACCAAGAGCAACGCTCGTAATTTGCCAACGCAACTCAAACAATTCATCCAGTGATCACACTTTCTCGAGGTTTAAACCGAGGTAAATTTGTCGTCTGCTCGTCTACCATTTTTTCTAGTGTACATTTGTATTCATTTAGAACTGCTTTAGAACTGGAGGTGGAGCACGAAATGAATTTCGAATGGCTCGTGGAGGAGGAAGCGGTGAACGTGGCAGAGGCGGCACGAGAGGACGAGCTTTTAAGAAAACACCAGTCGGTGATAGAGACTCAAATGCAGAGTCTAGCTATCACCCCCCATCTAGATCCAAGTTTCAAGAATCGTTGAAAAATCACGAAAATTCACAAACCAAGTACTACGATGATAAACGAATAAATGGTGAGTGAGTCAAATTATTCTTTTCTTTTAAGTAAATTGAAAAACAATTTCTACCTTCTTTTACTATAGAGGACTCCAGAATATCAAAGTTGTTGAGACGCTTGTGTCGCGAGGACGATGTTGATCACTTTTTAGGACTTTGTAAACAATTGCAAGAGGGTATATTGGCTCCAGAAAATCAGAGATACATTCGGAGGAATTTGGATCTTATTTGTGAGACTTTACTCGATTCTTTGCATTCAGGACCGGGAATTAAAGCAAAACATGAAATTGTCAAGTGTTTGGGACGCGTTGGTTACGTTGTAGATCAAGATTTCAAGAGGTATTTGTTTGTACAATTTTTTAAGAAAATTAAATTCCGAACTTTGAAAAATAAAATTAAGGTATGATTAAGGTACATGGAATGGATGTTCAACAAGTATTCACAGGAACGAAAAGATGAGGTGAAATGTCTATTAATAAAGTCTTTTGGCGAAACATTAAAATTAGACGCCGAGGCACCAAAATTAAAAGAATTTTCAGTGGTAATTATTAGTTTTCCATTTTTTTTAACAAGTTAAAGAATCAAGATAAAAAATCAAGATATTCTTCTTTCCAGTCGATAATGTTTCATCTACAATCACTACTTGAAAATGTAGAAAGACCGGATTTACTGACAACGACTGTTGACGCAATGCTACTTATAATAGACCTTTATCCGGAAACATTTACTGGTCATTTCCGTGATACAGTTGACATTCTCGTCGGCTGGCATATTGACTTAACGCAGCAGAAGCCAATTGTTGCCTATGCGAGCCGTAGTTTACAAAAAATGCGCAATTTTTGGTTGGCCGATTTACAATTCACTTTAACATTACTGGGTCAATTTTTAGAAGATATGGAAAGTTATGACGAGGAATTATCATTACCGGGTTCTGGCCGCAGTTCACCTGACGATGAAAGTGTTCCCTGCATGAAAGAATGCATTCTCAAAATTACTTCACTTATTTCCGTTTTTAATACCGTGACTAAAAGTATTTTAGATCATTTAAATCCAAATCTCAATCCCGCTGTTCAATGGTCCTTTTTAAATGATTGTCTCTCGAAAATGTTACGAATTGTCGTGAAAGCTATTCAAGTCGATACAAATAATATTCTTCTATCGAATGATTTAGAAATTTCAGAGGATAATACCGAAACTTTGATTAAATGTATGAGAAGTATGAATCTTTCTCAAAAGAATATTGCAACAGTGTTGAATAATTTGAATAAAGATGAAATGAATGAAGAAAATCTTGTTCAACTCATCAAATCAAATTTTAAAACAAATGACAACAAGTCTGCTTCTGATAATTGTATAATACCAAAAGAAAACGAAGAATCTTTATTGAGTATATTGAAAACTTTGGATTTAGCATCGAGAAAAAATGTTGATCTAGAAGAAAAAGAGGAATTAATTGTCGTTGCGAATGAATGTGCCTTTTTACTTTTGGGACATCTTCAGAGTCGTGTCACAAAAAATGATGATTTACTGTATAAATTCATTGATCTTCAATTGCAAAAAGTTGATATATTTTGGGATGATACAATTGTTTCAACATTGACGACAATTTCAAAAGTTATTAAAGAAGTATCGGCAAATCTTCCACTTGAATTGGTTCATAAATTATTGGGACAAAATTCCATTTTATTAAAATTACGATTCAGTGATACGGTTTCAATCCAAAATGCAAGTCTTGGTGTCTATCAGAGTCTTTTGAGTTTGAAAAATATTCCACTACTTCAAGAAGCGTATCGCTATGTACTTGCTGATTTAGAAATTGCCTATAAATTGATTGTAACGGATGTGGAAAATTTGGTTATTGACAATCCATTGTCTAATGTTTCCTATAAGAAGAAAGACGCCGAGTTGGTAGTCATTTTTTTACTACGAGCTTTATCTGATATTGGTAAGAATATCATTTCATTTCATTTTTTTTCTAATAGAAAGTATAGAAAATTTATTGATAAAAAATATGTGTAATTTACAGCGAATGCAAGTAATTCGATAATTGGAATGTGGGCTTTGAAACCAAGTATTTTAGAATTGTTGGCCGTCAAATTGAAACCTTACGATCCGGTTTTATCCACAGAAAGTCCACTTTTACAATACAGTATTTTGTATCTACTTTACGCTCATTGTTCGAGGTAAATAAACGTTTTTCTTTACTTTTTCTTTACTTTTTCTGCTTTTAATTGTTTCAATTAATGAACAAATTAACTTTTAGGTACAATCATTTTGTGCCCAGTTCAAGTCTCATAACGGGGACAAATTCTTGTCGTCCAATGGATATTTTTCCACTGGACGTGCCAACAACATCGCCAAACAGTGGACATTTGTCGATAATATTAAATCTTTTGGCAAAAACATTTAAACAACAGAATTGTAATCAAACGATTGTTCTTTTGATCGAATGGACGCAAGAAGTTTGCTATCAAGCAGAAAATTATCTCGCTATACTGAATAAAACGGAAGAATTCCAAAATATTATTTCCAGTCTTCTTAAGTGTGCAGCGACAACAAATCATGATATTTCATCAGCAATGTGCAATATTTTTGAAATGTTATTCAACGCAAAGGGTATTTTCTGGCCGGAATCTATTTACGTGGAAATAGTTGATTTAATCGTATTACATTCGACATCTCTGGATAAAATTGTACGTGAAAAATATGGACGTTTATTAATGAATGTCCCACTGAACATTGTTATTCCAAAATTGAACAAGGAAACTCTTCTCCCGGAAACGAAGGTATGCAATTGATAATGTAGTTAATCAGGGGTGGCCACGCAACCTGGAAATGTCAGGGAATTTTATAAACCTTGAAAAAACCTGGAAAAGCCAGGGAATTTTTATCGCAATCCTGGAAAATTATTGTTTTCTAAAGTTATTGTGCTTTTTCTTAAATATTTCAAAATTAATTCAATTTTAAAAAAGTTGCGTTTACAATTTTCATAAATAGATAAACTTCAAAAGGTTTTAATTTGAAATTTTGTAAATTTTCAATTTTGAATAAATTAATTAATTAAATAATAAAAATTTCACAGGAATTCTATTATTTACAAATTCTTTATAAATTTCTTCGCAATAATTCAATTATTATATTTTCATAAATTATCAATATATTTTTAATTCAATTTCTTGAAAGAATTAAATTATTTTCAAAAATTTTAATGAAATTCTTTTTAACAATTCAATTTTTTATCAAATTATAGGGGAGAGGGCCCTAAGGTGGTCACCCATCTTTTGAACGACTGTAGATTTCAAATGGAATTATATATAAAAATCAATAATACGGCGTTTGAAACTTTATCTTATTACCTAACTTCCTATCATAAAGTTTTTTCATTTCATTAATAAAAAAAAAGTTATGGCACTTTTTAAAAAAAGTTGAAAATTCGACTTTTAAAAAAGTGGCCCCAAGGTGGTCACCATACAAAAATTCACTAAAAAAGTTTTTAAAAAATGTAAAAAACGTATTATTAAGTTGTTTATTTAATATTAATTGTTTTTCAGGATCACAGAAACATATTACATATTTTTTTTTGCACTTTGTCCTTTCGTCAAAAATGATACTTTTTGTGTATGTATTAGACAGATAAAATTTTGAAAATAATTCTATTTCATTATTATTCATCATAAAATTTAAAAATTGATAAAATTCATATTCACAGTGATAAATGTTGATAAATATAGCGTATAAACACATTTTCATAAAAAATCAAAAGTGTCCACCTTAGGGCCAAGACACAATTTTTTAAACGTTAATAAAAAAATTTTTTAAAGCACAATATTAATTATATTCATTTGGAATATTATTGTACGATATATAAAGATAATAATTATAACGATTTTTACTAATTTAAAATGGTTAATTTCGATGATTTTAACACCCTGAGAAAAAAATTTCTCGATCATTTAAAAACAGAAATTTTACGACGTTCAACGTTACAAAGAGACTTATACGACTATTTACCTCAAAACTTTACTAAAATCTTTGTCTTCTCAAATAATAACAATAACAAAAAACATTTGAAGATACTAACTAATATACAAAAATTTTCTTAGGGTGACCACCTTGGGGCCCTCTCCCCTATATTTTAACCCTTTAATGGCCAAGTTTTTTGCCGTTATTATAAATGTATAATGTTTAGTAAATTCGTTTATTCTATTATTCAATATGAGAAAATTTTTTTTAAACATTTTCCACCCCTTAAAACCACCCCTAACGTATATTACTACCCAAAAAAATTGATAATTAATCTAAGTGATGAATTAAATATTTGTTAGCTCCTGTCTGCTTTATAATTATTTATAAATATTCTCTGGTTGTTCAAAAATGAAAAATAATCACAAATAACCACTTAAACACCACCCTCAAAGTCAAATAGCCACCCCTTGACGATAATAGTTTTTGTGGATATTTAAAAAACTATAGATTCTAAATGCATCTAAATTTTAAAAAAACGTTTCTAAGTAACACAAATGTGGATAATAATGTTAAACACCCCCCTTGGAACCCACCCCTATTTCATAATTATTCTTACATACTGTCAATAGTTTTGAACAATTAAAAAAATTATTTTCATTGATTCTATACGTTTCGAATATACGAAAAAATAGTTTTATGATGACTATGTAATGATAGTTAATGTAAACTACCCTTCAAAAAACAAGCCCAAGGTCAAATAACCACCCCTTGTTTATAAAAGTTTTTGTGAATGATAAAAAAATCTATAGCTTCTAAATGCTTCTAAATTATAAAAAAAATGTTTCTAAGTGACACAGATATGGATAATATTAATAAGCACCCTCCTAGAAACCACCCCAATTGCATAACAAGATTCAGGCGAATATAATAAATTTTTAAATTTATCGTCCGCCATGTTTGATCTGCCATTTCGAATTTTTTAAAACTGACATCGGATTTGTAATCAGCGACCCCGAAAACCCCCGAGTAACAATTTTTAGACGAATCTGATGAATTTTCAATTTATCGTCCGCCATATTGGATCCGCCATTTTGAATTTTTGAAAACTATCATCGGATTCGTAAACAGCGACCCTGAACACCCCCGAGTAACAAATTTTAGGCGAATTTGGTAGATTTTTAAATTGTTTCGTTTTTTTGGGGTAGTTTTCATTAATTTTTTTTACCCTGAGGTAAAATTTTGTTATTAATTTTTTTTACAAAGTTTACAATATTTTAAAACATATATGTTGCTTTGATAGCCGAAAAAAAAATTTTTTCTTGAAATTTTACCTTTTTTTTCATTTTTGGCATTTTTTGCGTTTTTTGAAGGGGTGTATTTCATAAAGGGTAGTTATTTGGAAAATGGCATTTATATGTATTTGTTACTCTCGCTCACCCCTTCAAAATGAGACCTCAGCGGAATTGATCCTTTAAGTTTTAAGAAAGTTATGATTTTTTGAAGTGTATGTGTACACTGGTCATCAAAGGGTTAATAAAATTCTTCGTAGAAATTTAATTAATTTAAATAATTTATTAAAATTCAATTATTTTCAATAAAGTTTCACAAAAGTGTAAAAAACGTTCAGGGATGTATCAACCATTTTAAATCATATGATCTTTAAATATGAAATAGAAGTTATGATAATTTATTAATAACTTTATTTAAAAATATGTATTAGAAATCATTGAATTCTTGCAAAGAATTTTGTCAAAAAATTTGAGAATAATTGAATTCCTTCGCAGAATTTTATTATTTATGAAAATAATCGAATTCTCCCGAAAAATTTAATTAAAATTTATAAAAATCTTAATTAAATTCTTTTGAAGAATATCTTTAAACTGTTTTAAAATAATGGAGTTTCTTTAATAGTTATAATTGAAAATTTTGAAAGTAATTGAATTATACAAAGAATTTTTTCAACTTTTTAAAATAATCGTGTCTGTTAATAGGTAATTTTAAATATTTGATTTTTAAAGTTTATTAAAATTGTATTGAAAATAATTGAATTCCTCAGGAGAATTTTATTATTTATAAAAAATAATTTAATTTTTGCGATGAATTTTAAATATAATTATTTTTTTTAAAATTACTTTGATTTGTTATTCTATTTATTTTATTATTTTTTATGTTTATTTTTTATAATATATAAAATATATCACAAAATAAACAAAAATTATAAATCAAATATAAATTAAATAATTTAATTAAGAAAACATCCATATAAAAATTACAATTCGAAACTTTTCGGCCCTGAATTTCATGGCACTCACACAGTCACAACTCTCACTGATATAATCCCTTCTATACTTCTACCTGGCGAGTTTCCGCCGTATAGAAGTCCGCCGTAGCGAGGTTTGCCTGTATTTAAAAATTTGTTGATAAAATTCTTTAAATGAGAGTTCAATTTTAAAAAACATTCAATTCTTCAATAAATTATTTATTTTTGTATTTAAATAATTGAGGTCTCGTGGAATTTTCTAATAAAAATTGATTTAAATATGAATTTGAGTTAACATTTTAGATAATAATTAAATGTTAAACTCTCTAAATTTGAATTAGTAAAAATGTTTTCTAATTCGAATTAGTGACTGACTTTTTGCTTTTGAATTAGCAGATTTTACTAATAAATAGTCGTTTCTACTAATTTAATAGTAAAATTTACTAATTCAAAAGCAAAAGGTCAGTCACTAATTCCAATTAGTAAAAATTTTTATTTAATATTCAAATTTAGAGAGCAAGTATTTTAGCGTGAATTTTTAAAAATAGGTAATTTAATTTTGCAAAGGTTTTAAATTATAATCTTTGAATGTTTGAAATTTCATACTTTCAACTAAAAATTGTGTAGATTTAATTTTTTTGAAAAACTTTAATTGAATTTTGTTTAAGTTATTTCATACTTTTATTGTCTAATATATATATTTGATTGAAGAATTTCCGAATACTCGATAAAATTTCGTAAAATTGAATTGTAAACAAAAGGATTTGAAAATTTTCAAAGTAAATTTTCAAAAATTATTAAAAATAATTAATTTAAAGAAGAATTTTAGTTAAAAATTCTGGAAAAACAATAATTTAATTTAAGTGATGAAAGTAATTTCGAATAAGTTACAGTAACAATATTCTTATAATATAAAATAACTAGCTGTCGTACCCGTCTTCGACGGGTTTTAGTTTCTACTAATATATTTGAAGAGGTGTCTACCAATCGGGAATTTTATTTGACTGGGAAAAACTAATAATTAGTTACATTAACTATTTCATTAGGAAAATATTACTGTTTGAATCAGTAAATGACTTTTCATATCAAATACTATTTTTAACTAATTCAGATTTATGGAACAGTATTTGTTAATTTGTAGTACTTTATGCGTTTGTATAGTATTTCAATTAATGTATTAAAAATTAATCCTAATTTTCAAACAGCTTTTGGAGTTATGTAGAGTCTAATTCGAAGTAATTGTATCGCAAGTAGACCCTACCTTACGACTGCTAAAGTCTAAAATAAGACCTATATTGTAGGCTGAATTTAGGGCTTAAATTTTGACAAATAAAAATGTTACATCAATAAAAATTAAAGCAAAAATCAATTTTTTAAAAACGAATTAATATAATAAAACTTTTTTTAATTAGATAAGAAAATTCATGATTTTTCCTGGTCGAATTAAATTTCCGTCTATTTCTCGGTTTATCTTCGCGGTTGATAGACACTGTTAAATGTATTAGTAGAAACTATAACATGTTATCGACTCCCACATGGGAATCTACATGGGATCCACTGTCATAAAGGAAACCATATAACCATATAACCTATATTTCTTTAAGAAAAAATCTCATGTAAAATCTATTTTTATTTTTCAAGTAGGTATAATTTTTCCATATCCCTATTGAAAATTTCCACATGGAATTTTACATTTTACCCATTTTTGCTTAATGCCCGGATAGAATTTTGGAAAAAAACAACAAACCCCAAACATTTCTAAAATTCAAGAAGGAAAATTTTAATTCAAAATAGGAATTTGTTATTTATTTTTAAAGGCATTTTTAAAACATTTCTAGAATTCAAAAATAAGAAAATTTTGATTCATAAATCCCAATTTGCCCCAGTGCCCGCTGAAGTCAAATTCCAGTTTTATTGATGCTCTTACTGTACCCTTTATATTGAACATATACATATATTTTATTTTCTACGTTAAATGAAATATGAAAATACGTGCTATAAAATTTTCAAACTTAAAACCTTAAAATATCAATACAGAAATTGTTTGCAAACTCACGTTCATTGATTTTAGAAAATTTGTAATAGACATCAAATTCATGACTCTAAACTTGTTAATAAAATAAATGTAATGAATGTAATTTAAAATTTAAAAACATCAACCGATATCAATAGCAATTTCATAAAAAATTAAACAATATTCAAAAAAAAAAATTAATTAAAAATTTTGTCGAAAATCAAAAATATGATTTTGGCTAAAAAATTGAAAAAAGCTGTAACTTTCGTTCAGCTTAATATTTTTCAATCGGATATGGCTATAAATTTAAGTTAGACTAAGACCAAAGAGACTGTAAAGTTTCGTTCTAATCTGTCAAGTAGTCTTTGTGTTTATCCTGGACAAAATAGACTCGGAGTGGTCTATTTCTTCATAAGTTGTTTAATTTCAAAAAGGTTTGAATTAAAAATTTTTGAAAATCTTAATTCTTATGGAAAAATTATAATGACTAAATATTTATTTAAAAAAGGTAAATATAACAATGCGGAATACTGTATTATATGTATGAAAGTTGCATGTATTTGTAAAAATTTAGTTTTAAGAACCTGGAAAAGTGGGGAAATTCAAAATGAGCAAAAGCGTGGCAACCCTGTTAATTACACTTTTGAATGAATGAATTAAAAGAAAATTCTCATTTCAGAGATCCAGACAGATTAAGAATTATTCCATAGAGTCGTTGACACTAGCCCAAAGGATACACATGCGTAGTAACAATGGTGAGATGCAGGCTCAATATTTCAAGACTTACATGGCATTCTTGCTCCAGGAATATTATTTCGATGCATCAAGTTTGACTGAAATTTTTACATTGTGCTGGCCAACTGTGTAAGTTGAAAAATTTTAAGCAAATTCAAAGACATTATTATTGAAATTGAAATCGAAATCAATTTCTTTTTTCAGATCTGAGAATGAGACTGTTGCGAAAATTTTTGAGATAGCATTAGCGAATTGTTCGTTTTTGTTCTTTTGGGGTGGTTTTGAAGCCGCCCAGCACTGTATTGTCAATAAATTGCGTACACCTCTCGGCAAACCGCAGGAAACTTTTACAACTATTGAATGCGCTCTGAAGACATTAGCCAGAGAAATATCCTACAATACAGAAGTGAAAAAGCGCAATAAACAAGAATCACTCAATAAACAACACACTCTCGAGCACACGCGTGTACGATTGCTTGTTGAATTTCTGGAACATCTCGAGAGAGCGATTCACAATGCAGCCGATGGTTGTGCGATGGCGTTGTTACCACTTTCGAAACCAGTTCGTACATTTTTCCACACAAATCGACAAACTTGTCGCGAATGGTTGAATCGAATTCGTCTCGCACTTTGTGTCGTTTCACTTCACTCGGGTTTAGCGACAAATGCACTGCGCAATGGTCAGCGACTACTGGATGATTTGAGCAGGACCGACAATACACAGGGAGCAGAATTTGAGAGAGCCGCTCTGTGCATTGCTCAAGCAATGGTGAAGCTCGGCGAGGCGGAAGCACTTCAAGGATTGTACGTTTACACCAAGGAGAGGGACAGAAAGTTCCCGTGGTTGAAGCCGGCTATTGAGGAGGCTTCCGGGCGCCATGAGATCGCTGCCGAGAATTACAAACTGTTACTCGAAGAGCAAAAAGAGGGAAATAAAGTGGACACTGACGGGCAGTTTGTGGCTTTTTGTTCGCAACAGTTGGTCAATTGTTATCGCTCAGTCAGCGATTGGACTCAGCTTGAGAGCTGGAAGCAACGAGAGGCGAATCAGGACAATGGAAAGCAAATAATGGAGAATATCGTTTCACAGCAGGCAAAGTGTTTCAAAAAATTCCAAGACGGCGAGACAATTGTTCTCGAAGAACTCACAAATTGGTCACTACTGGATGAGGAAGCGAAGACAAATTGGAGTTGCGTTAAAACAATGACCGAGTGCTCCAATACGTTAACAAATATCGCTCTCCGCATCAGCGTCGATGACAAGCGTGACACATTTGTGCAGGATATTGAGAAATGCCAAAGTTTCGCCGCCAAAACAATGGAAGAAGGTCTTCGTAACGTGCCCTCGGAGTATCTCACCGATTCCATTCTAATGCAGTATTCGTCATCGGGTCTAATTAATCACTTATCGGGGGAGAAGTCAGACATTTTCCAACTCTCGCAAGCTGATAAAATCAATCATCTCAATACTTGCACGCTGACCCAAATTCTCTGGTGGTCGGACTACTTCGCCAGGATTAACAATCCCGAGTCTATGGAGGAAGTCGCTAGTTTACGTTTACACGTAATTCGAAGTGCCCGCAAGGAAGGAAACTATAATCTCGCCAAGCGTGAGATTGTTCGCTATTTCAGAAACGAGGACAATTTATTTCCCAACAAAGATATGGAAAAGTGTCTCTTCGCCGATATTGTGACGAATGCCCTGACAAATCCAGTTCATGTTAAGTGGACCAAGAATAACATGCGCGCTTTTCGTGAAATGTCAAAATTGTTATACTGTATGGAGAGTACCGAAGATGCGCTGAAAATTTGCAGCGTCACCGCCCTTGGAATATCGCAAGCAATCGTCAATGGCGAACAGTCGACGGAACTGCGTGAGACTGGAACAAAGTTGTTAATGACACTCGGTAAATGGATCCAACAGGACACGAAAGTGAGTGAAAATTCACAACTAGAGGAGCTGCTGAGTTTCGAATCAGTGCACAACGACGGATTAATGGATAAATTGTTCGGAAAGACCACAGAATTAATACCCGCTTCGGATATGATAATTGGCAAACTAATGCAACTTGGCTTGAATCAGTGTCCTGATTTACCGCTCGCTTGGTGTAATTTTGCAGCCTGGTGCTACAAGTGGGGCAAAAAGATGGTGGACAATTCGAATTCGGGTCAGTTGACGGAGACCGATAAAATGAGTATTAGATCTCTATTGCCGGTGGAAATATGCGAAAACGATCTCACGGCAGTTTTCTCAATACTGAGTCAAAACAAAGCAATTCCCGAAGATGAGGGCGACATTGACATGAATGTGATAAATACTTCGGAGATGATTGAAAATCAACTGAGAAATGTGCCTGCATTGTGTCACGCAAACAGTGAACATCTTTCAATGTTGGTGGAAATATGGCGACAGGCGCAAAATCGTATTTACTCTTACTATGAACTGTCGGCAAATGCTTACTTCAAATTTTTACAATTGGCAAAGAAAGACACGAACGATTGTGCAACAATAACGGCAACATTGCGCTTATTGCGATTGATTGTAAAGCACGCTTTGGAATTACAAAATGTACTCGAGTCGGGCTTGTCGACAACTCCGACTGCACCGTGGAAGGAAATAATACCGCAACTCTTCTCAAGATTGAGTCACCCGGAGGCTTATGTTCGTACCCGCGTTTCCGAATTGCTGTGTCGCGTCGTTGAAAACTCACCTCATTTAATAACGTTTCCGGCTGTCGTTGGCGCCGTTTCGAGTCAGAAGAGAAATTTCTATGACGATTCCGAGAATGAGCAGTACTCCGAGGAGGAGAACGATGACGTGAATCAAACATTCATGGACAATTGCTTCCTACAACTTGCCGATTGTCTTTCGAATAGAATACAAGACTCAGTGGTACAAGTGAAAATACTCGTGAGAGAATTACGAAGAATTACATTGCTGTGGGACGAATTGTGGCTGGCGACACTATTTCAACACCATTCGGAAACTTCCAAAAGATTCGAACAATTGGAATTGGAAGTGCAACGTGTACAGGACAATATTTGGCTCGCGCCTGACGATAAGGAGAAATTAATAGCTGAGAAGCATAGAATTATTCTACGACCAATTATTTTTATTTTAGAAAACCTCTTGTCAATGACGTCAGTGACGGCAGAAACACCACACGAAAAAATGTTTCAAGAGAAATTTGTCCCGAGCATTGAGAAAGTTATCCATAAAATGAAGAATCCAAAAAATCCCTCAAAGCCACAAATGGTTGCATTGCCTCTGAAGCAACTTGAGAGCAAATTGGCGCAAAGGGTGCACAAGAGAGGCGCTCATTCTCTATTAATGACGGACATTAGTCCAACGCTTGCTAATTTGAAAGATACATGCATTGCCATGCCTGGCGTTAACATGGTTAATAATAAAATAGTGACAATTCGATCTGTTGACAATAATGTGCAAATTTTACCAACTAAAACAAAACCAAAGAAACTTGTCTTTCACGGATCCGATGGCCATGTTTACACTTATTTATTCAAAGGACTTGAGGATCTTCACCTTGATGAGAGAATTATGCAATTTCTCAGTATATGTAATACTATGATGTCGAAAAACAGTGATACGAAAAAAGTCTACAGAGCGAGACATTATTCTGTCATCCCCTTGGGTCCACGTTCCGGTTTAATTCAATGGGTCGACGGTGTCACTCCCCTCTTCGCTCTATATAAACGATGGCAGCAAAGAGAGAGTTCGATGATTAATAAAGGCAGTAGCTGCACAATTTTACGACCGTCGGATTTGTTTTACAGTAAATTAACGCCACTGCTAAAGGAACGGGGCATCACGTTGGACAATCGAAAGGAATGGCCACTTCAGGTACTTAAACAGGTTTTATCTGAACTGATGTCAGAGACACCGAAAGACCTGCTTGCAAAGTAAGTAATCATTTTCACATTGCTTTAATTTAATTTAACAACATTTCTACTGAAATTCTCAATTTATAGGGAAATCTGGTGCAACAGCATTAATGCAGGAAGCTGGTGGCAGGCGACAAAAAATTATTCCTATTCTGTCGCTGTGATGTCTATTATCGGCTACATTATTGGACTTGGTGACCGACATTTGGACAATGTCCTCGTGGATTTAAATACCGGCGAAGTTGTGCATATCGATTACAATGTGTGCTTCGAAAAAGGAAAAACTTTGAGAGTTCCTGAAAAAGTACCCTTCCGAATGACTCCAAACATCAAAACTGCTCTGGGCGTCACAGGAGTTGAGGTAAAATATTTATTAATAATTATTAAACGATTTCTCCAATTTTATTTGCAAATAATGAATAAATAATACTGATGAATCAAAGTACAGTCATTTCTAAAGATCGATTAGATTTAAAGGTACAATTATCGTAAATTGTTTGTAAATTTGTGTCTTGCGTTGATTTACTGATATCGTCATTATTAATTCTTTGCCCGGATAATTCACTTTGCTTTCTTAAATAATGCTTTAAACTGGAATTAAAGTCATCGTGATTTGGCGATTGAAAGTGCAATAACCGTTGGAATGCTTTTCGAAAATTTGAATTTTTCCATGCATAAATCATTGGATTCATTCCACTGTTGGCCATTACAAGAGAAAATGTAATTTTGTATATTATTGGTGTTGATTTTTTGTAGAAATCAAAAGCACGTGTGCAAGCAACTATCAAATATGGTAGCCAGCATAGTGAAAAACATCCAACTATTAAAAACACCACCTGAAATTTAACAAACAAGAAATATATTATATTATTATTATTATTATTATCTCTGGAGAAAATAGAATTAAATAAAACTTTTTCAGTTAAAAATTGAAAAAAAAAATTGTCAAATTACTGAAATATTGAATTAAAAAAAAATAAATAATAATAATAAAATAATAATAATTTGTTTATTGTTCGACTAGTCGAACAGCTATCCAATATGGGTTAATATATGTAATATTTTTTTATTTTATTATTTATATGTTAATTACAGCAGTTTTTGAAATCATGGAGCAACCAGTTCTAGATTAATTTCACTGGCATAACCAGTGATTTAATATAAAAATAATAATTATTAATTAAAATTAGTAAATTAAAATTTACCTGAATATTTTTTCGATCCCTAGAATTTGATTTGTCAACTCCATTTGATTTTAATCTCTGCATGTGAACATTCGTTTCTTTCCAAATTTTTAGATATAATATTAATACACTGATCCAAACAATGAAAAATATTGGTGTCAATATTGCAACCACGTAATATCTATATGAAATTTAATTGAATTAAATAAATGTTTCGTTTCCTAGAAGAGAAGAAATTTGTTTACCTTGGTAGAACAATTCCTAATTCACAGACAGAGGTTGAATCGAAATTATGCCAATAGACTGGTATCGTTGATATTGCTATTGATATAATCCAGCCAATTGCAATAATTTGAAAAATCACTTTTAACGTTATAAATGTCGAATAATTAAATGGATAAATAATTGCAATGTAACGATCAATAGCGATTGCACTGACATTAAAAACACTCGCGCAACATGCTAAACTTATCAAGACAAATCTCAATATGCATGTTGCTTCAGTTTTGTTTAGAGACTCACTGAAATAAAATCCTAAGTGGTATGGTAACGTTAGACCAACTAAAAGATCAGAAATGGCGAGATTCATTATCAAATAATTTGATATAACGTGACGTAAACGACGACTCATTTTAACAGCGAGTATTGTCAAGACATTGCCAAAGACGATGAGAAGAAATAGTAATATGTCGATAATTGACCAATAAATTGCACTGCCTGGTAAAACGAGAATTTGCAAATTCTTAGTATCATTTGGTGTCGTTGTTGGCAAATTCCTTAGTATATTATCCATGTCCATTTCTTACTGAAATATTTTTTCTTATTTTAATCTTTACATAATGGAGAAACGTATTTAATTTTCTTTTTTACATTTTTGCATTTTTGCATTTTTGCATTTTTAATGAAAACTATTCTTGTCTGATGAAGATTTTGAACTGAAGAGTATTCAATGTATAGTTAATGTATTTAAATGACTAATAGAACTGGTTTTTGAATCATTAATTCACTCACCGACAAAGTTTCTTTTATGATGTCACATTAAATATACCCGAAAATATTTCCATGTTTCTTGCCACTAGTTCCACAAATAAATGGATTCAATTTCAGCATTATTTTATTTAAGGCTAACATTAAAAACTAAATTCTTCTATAAATTAAAATTGAAAATATTAACAAGACATTAATTAAATAATTTTATAAAATTAAACTTACGATCGTGAAATAACAGAGATCTAGCGATAAATCTGACGATATTTCTTGGGAAACTGGTAAAATTATCAATAATAATAGTTTCTACGTTCGTTATCATTTACTCGATTAATCGAGCATCTGCTTATCTACACATAAACCATTAATCGAATTTATTTTATCTTTTTACTAATTAGAAAACATTCATTTTTAAATAAATAGTAATTATTAAATTATGAGAATGGAAATAGTTTTTAATAACGCTTTTGCTATTATTTGACACAAGTTATGCTCATGGTATAATGTTTATTCCAGAATAGATTAGTGTGCTATCGTTGATTAAGTTTTTTCTTTTATTATTTTTCATTTCTTTTTTTTTATTATATTAACAAGTACCCATCTTTTCATGAACGTAGAACACGCAAAGTTCATTGATTTTCTCCAATGTGTGAATTCCCGGATCGTGTGAAATTTTTCTATAGAGTACATAAACACATATTTTGTAATTATTGTAATTTTATAACAAACTTATTTAATTATAATTTTAAAAACTAATTAAATAATGATAATTTAATCAAAAAAAAGGTAATAATTAAAAATTGTAATAAAAATTATTGTTACACCAATTTTTATTTTCTTACAAATAACATTTTTTGTGAATTTAAAAATTTTGAAATCTAACAAAGCTTAAATGATTTTTTTTACCAATTATTTATTTATTTATACATTTTAAAATTAATTGAATTTTAAAATAGTTTCGTTTACAATCTTCATAAATAGATGAACTTTAAAGGTTTCAATTTGAAATTTTTAAAAATATCAATTTTTAATGAATTTAAAAAGAAATTTTAAGAACAACGTGATTACAGAAATTCAATTATTTTCAAAAGTGATGAACTTCTTCGCATAAATTCAATTATGTTTAAATTTTTTTTTAAACTTTCGGCAAAATTTCAATTATCTTTATAAATAATAAAATTCTTCTCCAAAATTCAATTATTTTCAAAAAATTTAATAAAATTCTTGGCAAAATTTCAAAAATTTTCCTCATTTCAATTATTTTTAATATCTACTATTTTAATAAAATTTTACAAAAGAATTTTATTATTTAAACAAAATTTTAATAAAAATTTCACAGAAATTTAAATACATGGGTACCAATTTTTTATATATTTCTTCGCACCAATTCAATAATTTTTCATTTTTTAATCAAGTTCCTCCAAAGAATTCAAATATATTCAGAGAATTGAAAAAAATAATTAGGAGAAATTCAATTATTTCGAAAAATTTTGATAAAATGCTTTATAAATTTGAGAAATTATAATAAAATTGGTCGTAGAATAAAATTATTTTCGTAAAATATAACATCTCTCCTAGGAATACAATTATTGTCAAGAATGTTTGTAAGAATCTTCGAAAGAATTCAATTATTTTCGTAAAAAGTAAAATTCTTCAAATCAATTCAATTACCTATTTAATAAATTTTAATAAAATTCTTCCCAAGAATTCAATTATAAAAAAATGGATTTATTTATTTATTTCAAAAATAAACATTTTCACAGGAATTTAATTATTTTTACAAATAAAAAATCCTTCGCAGTAATTCAAATCTTTAAAAACATTTTTAATAAAATTCGTTGCAAGAATTCAATTATTTTCACAAATAACAAAACTTATCGCAGAATTTCAATTATTTTTTATACAATTTTAAATATAGGGGAGACTGGGGCGAAAGGTTAAACTGTCAAAACAGTTAGAGCAAATAGTTAGAGCATTGAAATCACCCTAAATAAATGTCCGGAGTTATGTGACATTCTGTTCATTTTTGTGGTGTCCATATTTAAAGTTTGTTTTCACCCTACTTTTGAAAATTTTTTCGTAAAAGAAAATATCAACTTTTAAGTACCTATATTTTTTGAATTTATTCTCATCGCGATTTTTTTAGGTCCTTGTTTGAGTCCCCTGACGAGATACCTGAAGGTATTTGCTAAATATCTTTAGTCAGATTTTTTATATTTGTTGTTAAAGCCAAAAATGCGCCCTGGAGCGAAATGTTAAATGTATTTTTACATGTTGTTAAACATTTTTTTTACATTTTTCGTTTTTTTGGGTTTATTTGTTTAAAAATGATTTATTTGACATCAGGCTTTTGTTAAATAAACAGATCTTTTATTAACTAAATTACTTGTTTACGTATACTTTAACTTATCTACTACTTAACACCTATCAGAAAATAGTTTTAGTAGGCTAGAAATAGAATTTAACATTTTGCTCCAGCCATTTAACTTTTCGCCCCAGCATGGGGCGAAAAGTTAAAAAAAACAAAATTTTCAAAAAAGGACAAAACATTTATTTTATTCTAAAATATCAGAAACTTTTTTATTGAAAGTTGTAGAGGACAAGTTGCCCTACAATGTAGATATATAAATATTTGCATCTAAGCGATTATATTGTCTAAAAAAATCATTTATGCAAAATCTAACTTTTCGCCCTAGTCTCCCCTAATGACAGAAAATTGCATTTATTCTTAAAATTTTTTTTTAAATTCACCGATAAAATTGAATTATTTTTTAAAATTTTGATAAAATTCTTCATAGAAATTCAATTTTAAAAAATATTCAATTATTGAATAAATTAATTAATTTTGTATGTAAATTATTGAATTATCGAAAAATTTTCTAATAAAAATTTATTTAAAAAAATTGAAAATTGATGGTATTAAATGCCTTTTTTTTTGTAAATAATAATTTGGAAAACATTTATTTTCACAGGGTATTTTTAGATTGGCATGTGAACACACATTGAGAGTGATGCGTCGAGGCCGTGAAACTCTTTTGACTTTATTGGAGGCTTTTGTTTACGACCCGCTGGTGGATTGGAGGGCAGGAGCTGATAATAGTATCGCTACTTATGGCGCTTGTCAGGCAAGAGCAAGATGCACTGGCGTTGGAAGAAAACAACTCGAAGTTGAACTTACCCGAGCAATGTTTGCCGTCAGGACCACTGAGATGCGCTCCGAATGGCTCGCAAATCGGTTGGAATTTTACAATACAATTTACTATTACTTTTTTCGTTTATTTTGTAGAAATAATGATTTTTTTTCAAAATAGAGAGGAATTGGTTCAAGTTTTTCCGCTTCTGTGTCATCATATGAACAATTGGATGGAAGCAACGGAAGCGACCCAACAATGTCAGGGTTTATTACAGGATCGGCATCAACAGTTAGCGCTCGTTAAGGAAGCTCAAGCAATGGGAAGAAATCATGCTCTTTACTCAGTTATCAAACGTTACAACACTTACAAACGGACAAAAGATGCCCTTGAAAAAGCTAAAACCGGATTGAAAGATAAAATAGACGAGTGTCAAAAGCAGATCAACATGCACAATGTAATTTAATGAAAATTATTTCAATCTTATAATCCGAAACTTTAGCAATAATTTTCTCCTTCTTTCAGATTGCTTTGACAGCAGTGCGTGGTTCCCAATTGGGTCAATGGTTGACAGAAGTCGGAAATCCTGCCAATCAAGAAGATCATCTGGTTTTCGACTTGGTGAAGGAATTTCTCCAAAATGCCGGGCAAAGTCAAATGATTGTTCAGTGTGAACAGTCGGAAAATGAACTGACACAATTAGCAATGCAGCAATTAATAATGATTCGCAATTGTCTCGACCTTTTGAGTCAATATTCGGCAATTTGTAATCTTTATCCAATTTCGATGATGGCTCAACATCGCTCAGTGGTTTATCATAATTGGGCGAATAAATTGTTAATCACCGGCACTGTCGAAACGTGTCAAGAAGTAATTGGGCAATTAGAGGGGAATTTCGACCCAACCAGTGGCACCCAAGTTGAACAGATTATTACATTTTCATACCAAATGCAAGCGTTTCTGAATAATTCGAATGAGAGATTCAAGAAAGCCTGTCAGCGGATGGTGACTGAGGGTTTGCCGGAGGCTTCAGGATCGATCGACAAGGCATACACGGAGTCGAGGTCACAAATTGGGATATTCTTGAGAAGGGAAAAGGGAGCGGAAAAATCATTGGAGTGCGTGATAATAACTGCTTTATGTGCTTTGAATAAGAGATATCTAATGATGGAAGGAGCGGCAAAGTGCGCGAGTGACTGCCTAGTGGATTTGACATCGAGAGATGGCGATTGGTTCCTCGACGAAATGAGACTAATGTCATCGTTGATTGCCGAACTTGTGACATTAATTCCCGACAGTCATAAAACGAACAATGATGTTAAAATTCCGCTTGTACTCAAGTGTCTCAAGAATGCTGATTTTATTTACAAAGGTCTGCAAGAGCTCAACTATAATTTCCACACTATTATTTTGCCCGAAGCAATGAAGACAATAATAATTGAAGAGCCGACAGTTATGCGGATGGTCAACGAACTCGACGAGATTATTGTGTCGGTAGGAGTTCCCTTAGGTGAAATACTCGCACAACTTGAAATGCATTTAAGATTTACTGTCATGGAAATGGAAAGTCCTCACTCGATTGTTCAAAATCTCGTCGCACAGATGAGACTCCGTTTTGAGAATCTGCTCTCAAGACCTGCTGACGCACAGGAACTGCATCAAGACGAAACTTTAACGCCCGGACAAATGCTACTTATGGGTTTTAACGGCCTGTTCGAGAAGTTGCAGATGGAAGGTAATACACTGGTAACGGCGTTGAGTACACTCGACATACCGCCAAGTTGGAAGAAAATCGACCAAATTCGGGAAGCTAAAGAAATGGCGGCGCCTATTTTCAATGAAATGGCACGTGCTGTTTTGGACGACATATTTCTCATCAAACGCCTGCACACGATTCAAGAGTTTTTCATCATGTGTCGGGATACTGCTGCGGCATTCAAGGGAGGTTTGGCGAACGTGCACGACGATGACAGACTCAACAAACCGGTGCGAGTCTTCACTGCCGACTATGTTTCGCGGCAATTGCTCGGCATGACTTCGCAAACCTTAGCGATAGCATTGTGCTTCCTTCTGCAGAGAATGGGCTTGAGTGTCACCAGCGAAATTGAACAACGAGATGTAGGAGCTGAGAGTAAAGTTTCGTTGGAAGAACTCTGCAGAAAATTGCTTGATTTGTGTTTGAAGAAAAATTTATTCTCTTCATCGGTTCTAACGCAAGCAAGTGCTTTGAGTAATACACTTGAGAGCGCATGGCGTAGAAAACAGAGTTCGAAATTCGCCCAACAAAGTGTCGAAATAACTAGAGCAAGTGTTCAGAGACTTCAACTCCAATTGACAGCTCATCATTGGCTACATGAGGATAGTCTCTTACTGCGATCCAATCTCAATCCTTTAAGTAAGTTTTCTTCTTCTTCTTCTTCTTCTTCTTCTTTTATCTAAATTCAGGGTTTCTACAAATCATGGAATTGTCATGGGATTTCATTTTGATTCATGGAATCATGGAAATCTCATGGAATTTCTAATCGGATCATGGAATTTTTTTAGTTTTTGTTGTAAACCAGGGTGACTGACATTCGCGCTCCTTTATTAATCAGGGTGGTCACAAGTTTCAATTTATTAATTTCCCTGACAATTTACTGACATTAAAATTACTTTCCCTAACAAAATTTTTTTCACAATAGGAAAATATTAATGTTTACGGAAAATGAGTAAAATTTATGAATTTTAATAATTTCTAAAAATTATAATTGAGCTCCCGCGGGCAATAACTTGATCTGCGCTCTGACAAAAACGCTAGTACCAGTCGGGGAGCAGTGTGCGCCTCTGCGTCCGAGCGCAGATCAAGTTATTGACCGCGGGAGCTCAATTATAACCCTTCCTGCATTTAATTATTCTCTACAATTTTCAACTAAACTTCTTAGCTCTGAATCAATTAATTTATATCATTTTCCCAAAGTTCTTCTAGAATTCAATTATTTAAATACATCTTAATTTTTTATAATAATTGTGACTCTCCATAGTTTTTTCTTAAGTTATTAAGGTATAATGTTTTCAAAAAATTATAATAAAGAAATTCTTACAATTAATTTTTTAAAAATATTTTTAGATAATTTTTTAACGATAATAATTTTTCAATTTTGAAAAATTTCCAAACAATAAAAATTTGGTAAAATCTTTTAAAAATAATTGAATTTTTGAAAAGTATAAATAAAAATGATCAAATTTATGAAGAATTTTAATTATAAACAGGACCATGATTTCTCGAAAATTTTAATAAGTCCAAAAATTAAATTCTAATAATTACCTAGTTTTAAAAAATTAAAAAATTTTCATTAATGTAATTTTTCGAAAATAATTGTATTTCTTAAAATAATTTTTATATACAATTTAAAAAAACTAATGAATTTTTTGATAAATTTTAATTTAAAATTTCGAACATCATTGTTTTATCCCAAATGTTAAAAATAATTCTAAAATATTATTATTTTTGGAAATATGTAATTGAGAATATTAAAAATAGTGAATTTAAAAAAATTAGAGGCTTACTTTCATTTTTAAATTTACCTTTAAAGATTTTTCATTGAAATTTTTGATAATTCAATTCTTTTCAAAATTTTACAAAATTTTAACCATTCAAAACCATTTTTTGAAAGATTTGTTTATAGTTATTTTTTGCATTATACAGGGCTCGAACTAAGTTCGTAAATCCCGTAAAGATCCGTAAATTTGCTCCAAGTCCGTAAAAGTCCGTTTTTTTGAAAAAAGGTCCGTAAAGTCCGTAATTTGATTGAAAAAGAACGAAAAGTTCGTAAATTGTACGCTACAATTTGGAGAATTTCAGTGAAATTACAAATTATTGCAGAAATTCAATTATATTCAAAAATTTTTTAAATTCTCGTCAAAATTTCAATTATTATCTTTATAAATAATAAAATTCTTCTCCGAAATTCAATTAGGTATTTTCAAAAATAATTAAATTTTTAGAAAATTTAATTATTCTCGTAAGAAATAAAACTCTTTTTAGGAATTCAATTATTTTTATAAATAATAAAACTCATTGCAGAATTTCTATATTATTCTTAAAAAATGTTGTTAAAATTCGTCCAAAGAATTCAATTATTTAAAAATTTATTGATAAAATTCTTTATGATAATACAATTTTAAGTAACATTCATTGAATATTATTCAATTAATTATTTAATTTTGTATTTAAATAATTGTGGAATTAATTTTTTTTGAATAGGGGAGAGTGGGGCAAACCGGCCATAGTAACGGTTTTTTTACTCTTGTGACTAAACGAATCAACCGATTTCATTTTTCGATGGCTTGTTTGAAAGATCATTTAATTGCGCAACTTTTTTCCAGAGACACCTATACTTTATCTTTTAGATTAGATTAGATTTTATTGATTGATTTATATAAGATGATACAGTAGCAGTCATGATACAAAGAGAAAAGAAAAATAATACAATCAACATTTCTTTAGAACTCGATGGTTCATACAGAAAGAAAAGTAAAGAGAGTCTCACTTGATGTACATAGTTAACATTACACGCAGCGCTAGGTGTTTCGTAGATATTGACGAAGTTTTAACATTTCTTCCACCATTCTGAGAAATTTTAATATTATTTTTGTATCATTACTGGAGACAATTTCCAGCCAATAATTCAAATGTGCTTCATTTTCTGGGCCTTCAAAATATTTCTTTCTAATGTGATTGTACATAGGGCAAATTGATATTATGTGTAGAAAATGATCGTTTTCGATTTTACAATCTATGCACAAATTTTCGTCGCTAGGCAGTGTGAATTTCTCTTTCGTGTAGTATATAAAAGGGACATATCTATTTGACATTCTGACCTGTGCAAAAAGCTCACATTTCTCAAAAAAAGGTTTTATTTGCAAATACCAGTTATACTCGGGATTTAGGTTTTTTTTAGTAGATAGAGTTTGAAGTTTACCAAAACATACTATAGGATAACGCGTGGACTCCATAGAAAACATTTTAATAAGCCATGATATGATTAAGCAAAAAATTTTATAAGAGGTATGCAAACGGCCGGTTTCTAATCTGATAGCATAATTAGGAGTGTTATTTGGAAGATGTAGTAATTTCTTAAAAAAAGAAAGCTGTACTCTCTCAACGAGTTCCATGTAGCGGACGCCCCAGACTTGTATACTATACAATACGGTACTTAGACATAGACTTTCAAACAATCTCTCATACGTCGCCCAGGCGTTTGCTTTCGAATTATAAACAATTTTTAAGGTAGCACCTATTGCTGTATTCCCCGAACTTACCGCCCTTTTTGCCGCACATGAAAAAGAACCAGAGTTGCTTATAGGAATTCCCAAATATATAAAATTATCCACAACTTCAATTTTTTCTGATCCAAACAAGAAATTCTTAAAGCTCACTTTTTTAGTTTTATTTTTTTGAAAGATTAAAATTTTTGTCTTGTTTACATTGACTACCAGCTCTTTTTCTTTACAATACAATCTAAGGGCTTTGAGTTTCCTACTCAGTTCTGTCGGAGTATCGGCAAAAAGGACAATATCGTCAGCATATTCAAGCGATATTATATCACAATCCTTGTTTATCGTAAAGCTTCTGCAACCATGATCTAAGAGATAATCTCCAAAGTCATTCATAAAAAGAGAAAAAAGCAACGAACTTAAGACCTCTCCCTGGAGAACGCCTCGAGTGACCCTAATTGGTGGAGTTGATTCTCCATTATTTTTAACAAATACTGTTGCAGACTCATATAAGTGTTTTATGATATTTATAATTTTCGAGCTAACCCCTAGTTTAAATAACCTTGACCAAAGCTTTCCATGATTGACAGAATCAAATGCCCCCTTAAAGTCAATAAATGCAGCATAAATCGTTTTGTATCCTTGCGAGAAGCTGATCTGTACAAGTGAATTTAAAACAAATAAATTGTCAGTGCAGCTTCTTTTCTTGCGAAATCCTGATTGTGATTCCGGTAGAAGTTGCATTTCAGTTGTCCAGTCTGTTAGTCTGTCATATAGTATCTGTGTAAATATCTTGGCGATGCAATTGACTAGAGTTACAGGTCTGTAATTTGTAGGATCACTTCTATCTCCCTTTTTGTAAATCATAGTCATACACAATTGACTCCACGAGTTCGGCACACGCTCAGATGTAATTATTTTGTTAAATAGACATTTAAGATACTGAAGACAATTCTCAGGGAGCCTCTTGTAAAAACCATAGCCTATACAATCAGTTCCAGAAGCTTTACCTTCCTTACACCTACGCAAACTCTTTACAATTTCGTCATTGGTAATCTCAGAATCCAGAAGTACATTCAGCGTTGTTGGTCCATAACAAGGAGCATTAGAATAGTTCACCTCATACATATGTTCAAGAAAAAAAAATTGAATACGAAGAACACACAAACAATTCAAACTATTCCGCCACAAATAACCCATTGCCAGCAAAGAAGAACTCAACCACAACAAAATAAACACCTCCCTGGAAATAATTTTTTACGTTCAGAGAAACAAATGCACCATAGTGAATCCTCTCCAAAAATTATTTTTTGGAATGTCCACGGCATAAGTAATCGCAATTATATGGAATACGGTTTTCAAGAGGAAGACATCATCTGCTTATGCGAGACATGGATTACGTCTAAAGTGTCAACACTCTATACATCTGTCGGTGAGAATGAATCTATATACATCCCGGCCGTCAAATGCCCGGCACAGGGCCGTCCCAAAGGGGGACTTTTAATTTGCTTTAATAAAAAATTTTACAAACTTGACGTACTGAAAACTGATGACAATTTTATTTTTGTTAAAGTAACGTCTTTAAATTTTGTATTTATACTTTGTTTGATTTATTTTTCTCCTTGTAAAACTTTGGATAATAACTTGAATACTTTTAGTGAATCTTTATTTTATATAACTTTAAACTACCCAAAATTGCCATTAATTCTGGGCGGGGATTTTAACTGTCGTGTAGCGGATCTAAATCAGCTGGATTCTGCACTTTTTCTTGAAACTGCGTTCACTCCGAACCGCTCTTCCATGGACATGTTCCTCAATGCTAGGGGTAAATTGATTGTAGATTTTATGGAAAAGAACTGTCTTGTTTTGTTAAATGGCCGATCACTAAGTGATTCCCCTGCTTGTATAACATGTGAAGGTCCTTTTGGTTCTAGTATTGTTGATCATGTGTGGTGCTCTCATGACGCATTACCTTTTACCACTGATTTTTCTGTTTTGACAAATTTTACAATGTCTGACCATTTCCCTGTTGCTGTACATTTGCTACCATTTTCTTTTCCACATCATAAAATTTCGAAGAAGAGTAATCAAAATATTAAAATATTGTTCGATGCTTCAAAGTCATCTACTTTTTCTCAAATGATATCTGAAAACATTAATTTAATTCCATATAGTGAGAATATAGATTTTCTAAATAATAATTTGATAACTTGCATCATGGAAGTGGCCGAGAGATTGGGAATGAGAATTGTAGCAAATAATGGAAATAACAATAAAAAGAAGGAGAGCAGACCATGGTTTGATCAGGATTGCGCGATAGCCAGAAGAACTGTAAACCAAATACTTTATCTTTTATTGTTTAGTTGCTGTGTTAACTTTAAAAAAATTTGCAAACGGGCCGGTTTGCCCCACCCCCTGGGGTAAACTGGACCGTTTGGTTTTTTATTTATAATATTGCATGTACATAATCTACAATAATAAACAAGTTGTAAATCCAGATGTTCATTACATGAACATTTTGCTTCCTCTTTACGATCAGCAAAAAAAATTTGCTTCCTCGTGGAGGAAGCATTAACGATAAATATATTTCATTTTTAAATCATTTTTAATACAATTTAACATTTATAAAATAAAGTGCATTCGTCTTAATAGAAAGAATAAAATTTTCTTATACAGTAATATGAATCTAAATAAACAAAAAAAATTTTTAGTAAAAAAGTGAATTTTTCAAATTTGATTGTAATTAATTCTATAATTTTCAATAGAATATATACTTTATATACATCAATCGATTCGTCTTGATGCAAAGAATAAGATTTTTGATTTATTCTCCATAAATAATAACATTTTATTGTACAGCAACATGATTTTTAAGAAAAAATGAATTTTTATTAAAAGTGCAAATTTTTTGTTTATGATTGGCTTTAATTCTATAAATTTAAATACAATATATACTTTATATATACCAATCGATCTGTCTTGGTGCAAAGAATAAGATTTTATTATATATTAACTTCAATAACCAACTTAAAAAAAATTTTTTAGAAAAAAGTCAAAAAAAAAATTTTGTCTGAGAATTTTTTAAAGTCTATCAATCCACTTCGAGATATTTTTATGATAAATATGCCTGTCAAATTTTAGCCAAATTCGTTAAAACCTCTTCGAGTTATCGTGTTCACAAAAATCGGGATCCACACACACACACACACATCCATACATACATCCGGACAATTGTTCAGGGTCTTATATAACATAGTCCTATATAGAAGAAAATTTGTTAAAAGGATTTTTAAAAATTTTGTAAATTAAACGACTACAAAGCTTCCTCACGAGGAAGCAAAAACATAAAGAATCATGTAAACAAAGGTTGTAGTAATGAAAATAATAATACGAGATTGAATTTTAATTAAATAAATATTTTTTTTAATAAAAAAAAATAAATATGTTTGTCATTATCAGAGAAACAATATTAAAGGGTCCAATTCTTATTGGAAGACAATTATTTTTCATTGTAAGTTAATATTTTAATGAAAGAAACATTTTATTTAAACATAATTTTTATGAAACTTTAATTCAATGGAAATATCCTATGGCCGGTTTGCCCCAGAGGCCCATTTTGAGAATAAATGTTTGTCAAAAAAAAACGCTTTGCAAATTCATCAAAGTTTTTGGTGGTAAATATTCCTGAGGTGTGTACCTTCAAAACCTAAGACCTAATATTTGGAAACATTACACGATTTCCTCAGAATTTCCTTAAGAAAAAATTCGTAAAAGTGTAGAAAAAAACTAAAAAAAAAACTTTTGCTCCCAGCGTTGCACAAACAAAAGTAAAAATTGTCAAATTGAAAAAATAAGGTATACTACACATGGTTGTTTCAAATTTCTAAATAGCACTTTTGACAATTTCGCCATTTTGGAGATATTGACCCCTGACCGGTTTACCCACCGGGCCGGTTTGCATCACTCTCCCCTAAGTTTAATTGAGGATTTTTTTAAAAATTATTTAAAGTTTTAAAATTTTAATTATACCTAATTATTAACAGACACGATTATTTTGAAAAGTTGAAGTACATTGTTTAATTATAATTAATTCTTCGAAAGAATTCAATTATTTTCAATATTTTACTAAAATTCTTTGAATCAATTAAATTATTTTTAAAAACTGTAATAAAATTCTGGGATGAATTTAATAATTGTTTAAAAATAAAATAAAAATTTAAGTACTTTGAAAATTTCCAATTAAAATTATTAAAGAAACTCCATTATTTTTAAAAAAATTCAATTATTTTCGTCAGTAATAAAATTCTTCGCAGGGAATTGAATTATTTTTAAAAAATTTAATAAAATTCTTTGCCATAATTCAATTATTTTCAATGCATTTTAAATAAATAATTTTATCATTGGTCCATAATTATTATAAAACATGAAGAAATCGATTTTATGAAAAATTTTCTCTTATTTGTCACATACAGTCATGTAAAGTTGGCACTACTTTTTTGAAAAATCAAAAATTTTACAAGAGTTCTGGTCACTACCAATAGTTCTAGAGTTCTCTAACGATTATTTAAATAGTTCTGATGATTAACAATAAAAAAAGCGACAATGAAAAATCATAGTGCTAACTTTGCATAGCACTATTATTTTTGCAAAAAAGAGTTCTGACCTAATATTCTGAAAGAGAATAAAGAGTTCTCTACCAAAAAAAACAAGAGTTCTGCAAAATTTCAAAAGTTATTAACAAATTAAAAAAAGTTATGAAAATAATATTTTGAGAGTTCCGAATAGAGTTCTGGCATCGTCATAAAGAGTTCTATAAGTATTTCTAATGAAATTTTGTTTTAAATCCAAAATCAAAAAAAGTTACGAAACTTTCAAATTTTCATAATTTTGAAAAATTTTGAAATTCAGAGTTCTAAGAGTTCTGAAAAGAGTTCTGGCATCGTCATAAAGAGTTCTATAAGTATTTCCAATGACATTTTGCTCTAAATCCAAAATGAAAAAAGTTACGGGACTTTGAAATTTTGAAATTCAGAGTTCTGAGAGTTCTGAAAATAATTCTGGCATCGTTATAAAGAGTTCTATAAGTATTTCTAATGTCATTTGCTTTAACTTCTAAATCCAAAAAGTTGTAAGACTTTAATTTTCAAGATGTTAAAATTCAGTGTTCTAAAAGTTCTGATTACGGTTTTGGCATCGGCATAAAGAATTCTTCAAATACATAATGCTAATGAAGTTTTGATGGATACTTAAATGCCAAAAAGTACAGTATTTATAAATTTTTGTAAATTTCGAATATTGTTATTTTATTGTATTAATTAAAAAAATTGTTATATAAAATCCAATTTTTCAGAACTCTGAATTTTTAATTTCTAAAATTTTTGAAAATTTTACAATCCTGTAACTTTCGGATTTTGGGTTCAGTATAAAGTGTCATTAGAAATACTAATAAAACTCTTTATGGCGATGCCACAACTCTATTTGGAACTCTCAAAATATTATTTTCATAACTTTTTTTAATTTGTTAATAACTTTTGAAATTTTGCAGAACTCTTGTTTTTTTTGGTAGAGAACTCTTTATTCTCTTTCAGAATATTAGGTCAGAACTCTTTTTTGCAAAAATAATAGTGCTATGCAAAGTTAGCACTATGTAAAATTTTTGATTTTTTAAAAAAGTAGTGCCAACTTTTGCATGACTGTCTCAAACTGGTTATATTACTTCCTCATAGAGGAAGTATTGTAATACCAAAATTTTTCGAGTTCGATTTTTTGACTTATATCTTTATGTTATTTGACCTCAGAAGTTCAAAAATGACATTTTTGAAAAATGTCGTTCCGTATGTGTGTGTGTGTGTGTAAACATCACATTTTCATAAATATCTCAAAATCATGAAGAGCTTTTGGGTTGAATTTTTTTTAAATTATAGATCTCACCTGCAGACATAAAATGAGAGTACTTTAAGATAGATTAATAAAGTTTAACTAAATTTTTTTTGGATTTTTAATTTTGCAAAAAAACGTTTTATGCCCATAACTTTTAACCACCTATAAATGTTTTTCCATAATTTTATAGAGTTTCTTTAGACGCATCTTTTGAGCCCTAATTGAACATTTTCTCAACGTTTTTGTTTGAAAATTTTTGTTTAACTATTAAAATATTATAACTATCTTGTAGGGTATTTAAAAATACATTGATTGACCCAAGATTCAACCACTTTTACCATATTTATAAAAAGTTATTTATATATTTCAATTATTATTATCTCTATGAGGAAGCAAAGTGTTCATGAAATGAGCACCAAAATTATAAAAAAAATATACAACTTGGCAGCGGTTTTTTTGTCAGTAATATTGGTCCGTAAAGTCCGTATTTTTAAATACTTTCACTGGCTCGAGCCCTGCATTATAAAAATCAAAATAAGTTGCCCTTTTTACTAAAAATTGTGGTATTTTGTTGCAATGTTTGGAAGGAAAGTCGAAAAAGTCTCAATTTTCTTAATTTCCCTGACAAAGAAAATTTTTTCATAACATTTAGGCTGACTTAACTGAGAAAAATTTTGTTTTAATGAGTCATGGAAATTTGATCATTTATCACCTGGAAATCATGGAAAAATCATGGAATTTGTAAAAACTCTGTTAAATTAAATCAGACTAATTTGACTAATTTGATTAATTTCCACAGATCGACCAACTTTTATGCTCGAGTTGCGAAAATCCGCAACAGCTCTCACGGCTCTACAATCACGAGTATGCGAGGCAAGGGAGCAACAACAAAATCTCGTGGCGAGTGCAATTCAACGTTTAAAATGGGCCGCTGGAGCGAATCCGGCCTTAACTGAAGTAATGTCCGCATTTGATAACGCCGTGTTGACATCATGTGAAAAACTCACGCGACAGCATAATTTAGCAGCAATGATTGTAAACACCTGCAACTCCATATTGCATTACGAGGCATTGAGAACAAGAACATCGGAGAGTGTATCAAGTGATGGGAATTTCATGAAACTGGTAAGACATTGGGAGGAAAGTTGTAAGTTGACGATCAACTTAACAATAACAGTGACAATGATTGAAGAGAGTCTTGTTGAATTATTACAATTGGAAAACACTGTCGATGCAAATTGGTTAAGGCAAGCAGAGAAATTAATTTCGGATGCGATTGTTGATACGCAAAAAGAATTGCAAGAGAAACAAGATGCACTTGTCAATATACATGAGTGCTTAAGAGAGCAAGTGGCTAATTTACAAACTGTTCTCGCTGAACATCATCGACTAATGAGCGAGGTTCGTGTTTTATTACGAACAATGGCGAAGCAGGAGAATATTGTTGGATTGCAGGAATTTTTAACAACCTATCGTTCATTCACCGAGAGTATTTCCTCAGTTGTCAAAGAATTGGAATCGGAAAATCTTGACTCATTGCGTGCGGTTGCTGTGAAAGGTGAATTGGATAATTTAGCACTGAAAATGCCAGCCTTGTACGAGGAACTGCTTGAATTTGCGAACGAGCAGAGGACGATGCTTAAAGCAGTTGATCGGGAGTCCAGGAAAGTAAAACTCATCAGACAGGATAGTGTGTGTCTCAGTCCCAGGAAGGGAATTCCATTGGTCAGAGATCCAACCACGGGAAAAGGTTTATTATTATTATTATTATTATTATTATTATTATTATTATTATTATTATTATTAAATTATTAATTAATATAACCTTTTTTTATTGATTTTATTTAATGTTTTCTTAAAATTTACAGCTGTGCAAGAGAGGAATGCGTATGCCTTGAACGTTTGGCGTCGCGTGAGAATGAAGTTGGAAGGACGTGACCCGAATTCATCGAGAAAGTATACAACACCTGAACAGGTTGAGTACGTGATCCGCGAGGCTCAAAGCTCAGAGAACCTGGCCCTTCTGTACGAAGGTTGGACTCCATGGGTCTGAGAGAGAATGGAAAACGGCGTTCATCGCGCTGTTGGGCTCAACTCTTATTCCACATGGTACTCAATCTTGTGCCAATAACTGCTCTTCGTTGAAAGGCAAAACAACTGTACGATCAGGGTGATGAACAAAAACAAAAGCCTATTAACACCTGGGAAGAAGAGCTTCTATAAAATACGGGTTCAAAATAAAACAAAGCAAAAAAAAAAAAGAAAAAAATGAAACCAAGGTTTATTCCCGTGCTCCTAAGATGGAACATCTCACGAGCTAAATTATAAACCGCTCCGAGGTAACAATTCTAATGATTATATCTCAAAAAAACGGTTGAAGCGTGCGCTGAGAGCTTGGGTAGTTCCAAGAATCATGTTTTTGATCTAAGGAACAGTAAGTAGTTGACATCGCCAAAATATATCGCAACAAAACAAAAATTATGCATTTCCATATACAATATTAAATTGTTTAATAATAATGAAATTTTCAATTCAATCTTTATTGACATTTTAAAAATCTTAAATTTTTAAGAAATAGACGTTTGTTTAAATTAGAAATATTTCTAATGAGAGGAAACTAATTGTAATGTTCATTGTTTTCATTGTTTTCACAAGCAGTACAATATTACGGAATATTAGCGATAATGCGATGGGAATGGCGATGATTATTCGACGAAACTGGTTTCGTAAACACAGCATATTTCTGCTAGTTGTATCGATACATCTGGGTGGATACTATTTTTTTTATTATTAATTTTCTTTTTAAATTCATGATGAACGTAAACTTGCTGATTTGTTTGGAATAGAAATTTTTTTTTCTTTACTTTTCTAATTTGGCTGAAATATTTTTTAAGAATAAAATTTCTAAATGATAATTTTTCTTCTTAGTTAAAAAAATCGGCGATGAAAATTATCTTTAAAAAAATAACTAAAAAAACACATTTGTTCAATAAAAAAAATTCATAAAAAATAATTTTTTAATAATTTTAAATCAAATCCTTTTTTATTTTAAATAAATAATAAAATTCTTTTAATCACCTACAAATCAGCAAAAAATCAGCTTTATCAAAAAAATATTATAATAATTTCTTGTAAAACTGCTTATTTAATTTACAAAGCAGTTAAAATGTTATTAAATAATTTTAGAAATTAGTCATGAAGTAAATTTATCAAATTTTTATTTTTGAGTGTACTCTAATTAATGTTATTAAATATATTTTTTCCTGGCGTTTCTAAATTCGCTCAATCGGTTCTTCTTTTCGATTACTTTAACATTACTAAAATAACTATAGGTTTAGACAGGCTGTTCAGAAGTTTTTTCAGTCCTATAATCAAAGAGTGGAAATTTTAACTTGAACAGCTCGATACAGTCTACAATAGATGTAGTAATCTATTTAAATATATTTTTTATTCAGAGAAATATTGTTTGCCTAAAAAGAGAAAACTTGTTGAAATAATAAAAAACAAAATTTTTTTGATTTTTGTCCATATACAGAAAAGTAAAAATGACAAAATTCATTTAACATGATTAAAATAGTGGAAAATTCATTTTTTAATTAATATATCTATACAAATAAGGGGTTGGAAAAATTAACTAATATTATTAAATAAAAAAATAATAAATTAATTTCCTATTCAGCAACAATTCGATAACGTAAAAAGTTGGTAAATATTTTTATTGTTATTAATCGCAAATTTTATTTTGTTAATTAAAAAATTCCACTGATAACATGTTTTTTTATTAACAAAAATTTTATAACCCAAAAAAGCAATAGATTTCCATTGGAAAATATTATAATTTTATATCATTCGCAAGTTAAATATTTACAAAATTTAATAATAACTGTACTTCGATAAAACTTATTATTTCAATGGAGGCAACAATTTAAAAAAAATTATATTGATTGATTCGAAATAAATTTATTAACCATATTTCCAAAGTTTTTTTTCCATTTATAGTACAATCATTATCACAAGATATTCCCTTACATCGTTATAAAGTTTATAAACCATTTTTTCTTTATTAATAAAATTCATTCTTTTAGTTTCTCTCAAGTATTTTTTTCCACTTTTTCGTTATTTTTTTACAGTCTTGAAATAAACAACAATTTTCTTAAAATTACAATAATTATTAACTACATCGTTTGACGAATTAGGAACCAATAATTTTTAAGTAAATATACTTGTAAAAATTTAAAATTTAAATATTATTTCTTTCTAATTTACATGAAAATTAAAAAATTTAATATATACAATAACTTTGATTAATATTCTATACAAAACATTTTATTATATAATTCATGGACCTTTTCTTCTAAAATAAAATTTTAAAAGCAAAGACGAAAAATAATTGTAAAAATTCAAGTTAGAAATTAACAATAAATTCCAAATATTTAAAAGACTTACTTCTATTTTGGAATATGAGTTTGTAGATAATTTTCTTTTAAATATAATTACAGCTAGTTTAAATATTCATCTTCTCAATAAAAATTTATGTTACTGTAATTTTTACTTAGAATATTGATAAAGAGTAACTGCACTTATAAAAGCATATCTACAAATTTGAATATATGCAAACAGTATAAATTTTTACATACATTTTTTAACTACATATTAATACTTTTTTTTTAAATATTACACGCACCCAAGAAGATATATGCTGAATATTTACTATTTACAAAATTATCTAGTTTTCTTTAAGAGACTGACGGATTTTGAGATTTCCGGAACGTAATAAATTTAAAGAACTTGTCTATTTTTTAAAATAAATTTGAGATTTTTAAAGAAAACTTGATTGTTAAATATTAATTGAAAGCATTATTACCTATTAATTAAAAACGTTAAATTAATATTAAAAATGTTATTATGTTTAATTTAATCAGATATATTATTTATGAATTATAATTGAAAACAATTACAATGAATTAAACGTCTCAGAAATCTTGAAATGAAAAATATAATTTGAAAAAATTGTTTTGATTTTTAGTCACTTCTAATAATTGATATAAGGAGAATTTCAGTCAAGAGATAAAATTGTTACCTTTCTTATTTTAGATATCTCTTTTGAGAAGTTGATCAATTTGTGTTTTGTACATTTCTTTGACGTCTTCTAAATCCAATCGAAGTTCTTCATTTTCCTCCATTTTTTCACCGAACATTTGTAAAAGAGCGTCATATTTGGTTTGTACATCATTTAAATTTTCATTTAATGCCTCAACTTGAATGAATTTTGAATTTAATTCCTCTACTTTTAATGATAATGAAGACAACTCTATATTTAATGTATCTCTCTCTGCATTTCTTCGCGATAGTTCCCACTGCAATTGTTGTATCTCACCTGTGAAAGAAAAAAGAAGAATAATTTACTGTTTGCATTTTTAAGCGATTAAAGATAATTTTAATTGAATATATTAGGTCTGCCTAATACATATCTTATCTTAAACATGTACAAACCATCTCGTTGCTTCAATTGCGATTGCAAATTTTCAAAAACTGACGTACTGCTCGAGCCTGCTCGAAGACTTTCGTAAACATTTGGAAATCTCCCTGAACTACTGTCAAACATTGGATCATTAAACTGAAAAAAGGAAAAGAAAATTGTTTACCAAGTAAATTGAAAATAAATTAAACATATATAAATTAAAATAACTTACCACTGGCCAAATACTATTGACACTGCTCATTGAATCCCTTTCAATACTCAACGTTGGACTCAGTCTATATTCCTCTTCGACACTTTGTTGTTGCTCAATAATTGTGTGACTTTTTCTTTTCTCCGCATCAGTTGCTGCTTTTTCCATTGACAATTTATTTTCCAATGAATTAATTTCTCGCTTTAATTCTTTCACTTGATTCAAATGTGTCTGCTCCATCATTCTTATTGTTTCTTGATGTCTAAAAAGTGGAAATATTTCAATTGAATAATAAATTTGGTAAATATTTCAAAATAATAATCACAATACGTAGTAATAATTCTTTTCAAATTTTAAACCTTATAGATAGTACAGTACAAAAGTAGCCCAGAGAAAATGTCACTACGACATTAATCGCAAATTATTTTGCGTTGAATATGAACATTCTATCAACAAAACAATTTTGGGGTACTTCAGTTCTAGGGTTAAAGCGGAAAGTATTAAATTTGCGGTTTTTAAGTTAACTAATTTTTGAATATTTACTTAAAATGTTTTCAATTTTATAACTTTTAGTATTAGTAAGAGAAGCCCCTTCTCAGAAAGCGAAAAGTTGACAATGAAAGTAGGTTTTACGTCCTGCAATTTTATTTTTAAAATTTTTCTTTGTTTTCTGTTATTGTTTTTAAGTAGAAACAATTAAAATAAAAAATAATAAACTTTCTTTTCTATTTTTCTTCTAATCCTACACTTTTTTGTAAACCAACTAAACATAGCCTTGGAATGCGGAATTCCCAAAATTCCCTGATTATTCTAAATAATAATAAAATAATAAAAGCATCAAGTTTAGTTAGCGTTCACTCCGAGTCAGGTTGAATAAGAAAAGAATACATTTAACCTGATTCAGAGTGATCGCTAACTTGATGTTTTCATTATTAATGACGATCAAGTGATAACATCTTTATCTATATTTATAAATGTACATACTTAATATTTTCTTCAACGATATTTTCATTTTTTGTCTTCAATTCATTCGTTAAGTCTTGAAATTTCAAGCGATCTTGTTCCTTGGAATGTAATTTTGTTTCTAGAGAAGAAACCCGTGATTTCAATGTTAAATTATCTTCTTTTAATGATTGATCAGTTTCAGTCAAATTCTCCAATTTAGTCTGTAATTCAATTATTTTTTCCGACATAATTTTCTCCTGTTTCATGAAAGTATTCGTTTTTTGTAAAAGATTCGCCTGTAATTGTTCCAATTGCCTTAATAATGGTTTGGTAGCTGAAGAAACTGATTCCGAAATCTCTTCACTTCTAGTTTCTGACATCTCCAAACGCCTTAATAATTCCAAGTTTTCTTGCTTTAAATTTTCCTCCTTTCTAAACAAAAATTCAATTAAGTCTTTAGAATATTGGACTAATAACAATAAATATATTAGATTCTTAAAAATTATTTTAGAAATTTACTTAATGTACACTTCTTCCGTTTGGCGCAGTTTTACTCTTAAATCTTCAACTTGGGCTGAGAGTTGGCAAGAATCACCAGCAGTGTCCATGGCCTGTTTTAATTCATCTTCTGAAGATGTTAGTTTTTGCTTTGTATCCAAAAGCTCCCTGGGACAAAAAAGAAATTCATTATACTTTAAATTCGGAGTGAGAAAGTTAATCGTTAATCATAATATCGTTAAAGTATTGAAAAAACTCACGTTTTCGCAGCATCGAGACTTTTTTTATAAACATCCATTTTATTCAATGAGTGATCTAATTTTTCCTGCAAACTCAAAACCTCCTTTTCCTGTTTTTTGTTTTTCGCTGTTAATGAATGTACAGCTTCAATTTGGCTTCTTTCGACTTCCTCTTTCGCGTGAAGCGACCGCTTCAGTCTGTCTAATTCCAAACCCTGTTCTTCGAGTTGTTCCCTAAAATTTGTTCAATTTTAGCAAATGACATAAATTATTTTCTGATAAACTTACTTACTTTTGATTCTTTAAAGTTGACTCGTTCTCCTTTTCTTTAGCACGTAATTTTTTAATAATATTGCTGTGCTGCAATTGTTGTTTACTGAGTTTTTCTCCCTCTTCACGTAATTCCTTGATGACTTCATCTTTCTCGGCGTTGATCGTCGACATTTCCATAGACGACAATCGAGTTGCTGTCTCTTGTTTCAATTGCTCCAGATGTTTTCTAAGTAAATCACGATCTCGAATTGCCTGTTGAAATTTTCTCTCTAATGCCGAAAGTCGCTGTGTATATTCGTCCGTTAATTGCGATAAATCTTGATTTTGTTCCACGTGTTTTTCAACGTTGTCTAATTGTCTAATGAATGATAAATCAAAGTCAAATATTTGGTAATCTGTTTATTATTATTATTAGTAAAGAAGTTTATTAAAATGTTAAAAAATACAAACTTTTTGAGACTATTATTTTGATCGTGTAATTCCATATTCATTCTACTGACGTCAATAAGTTTTGATTCACGAGCTTCTAGAATTTCTGTCATTTCCTGAATGCGTTTTAATAATTTTTCTATTTCTAAATTTGTTTCATCAGAACAAATGCTTATTTCACTGAGTTCCCGCGAATGGCCCCTTGTTTTTAAAGCCTTCGTTAATAAATCACTACTCTTGTTCAGATGCAGTTTAGCTGGACTTTGTCGTGATTGAGTGGAACTCGAATCGCCATTTGGACTATATGAACAAGAAAAAGTCGAAAAAGGTGAAAATCAAATTATTAAGTAACTTTTTTGCTTCTTAAACTACCTGGATATTATTTCAATGTCGCTGGAAGTTGTAGTTTCCAACTCATCACCGGATGTGTGTCCGCTAGTTTGGTCCGAGCCGATTTTCACCAAGTCTGAACGACTGAAATTGCAATAGCTTTTATTAATTTTATTAGTTTTCTTTGAGTGAATTTTATATAAAGTATTTATTACCTTTCAGAAGAAATTGGCGAATTTTCCCTGGGTACATCGACACAATGTCTTTCAGTGTCACTAGTGTCACTCTTTTCGTACATCGCGTCGGCCAACATGGATTTAACATACGAACTGGATGTCAATGGCGCTTCGGCAACTTTTGTCTCCGCATTTCCGATTAATGTGGCATTATCCTCCGAGCTGCTCTCAATTAAAGTACCTTCGCAACTTGAATCAGTCAACATCAGATATTGATCCGGCACTTCGGCACTTTCTGTTTTTGAACCCTGAATTGTTTCCTCATAAACTTCTGGTTCTGACGGTTCGATCGTTGAACTTTTCACCGACTCGAGATATTCTTGTTTTCTTATTGGTTGAGTGGTTATCGGCTCCAGCGGTAGATGTAAATTATGTTTCTCCTTTAATGAATCCAAACTAATGTTGAGAATGGTCATGACTGTTGTTTCAGAGGCGGAGGTATAGGAATCTTCGGCGAGACTCACTTCGTCGGACTCGTCGACGTCGGGAGCAGGTTGAACCTTTTGCACTGAAGAATCGATTTTACATTGAAAAATTGATGTTTTCGCTTCCTCCATTGGTGATTCGTAGGGTGAAATGTCTGAACCATCTTGTAAACTGTCAATTGCACTAGATGACGACTTGAATTGTCTCTGTTCTGCTGGTGACAAAAATGGACTACTGTCGCCTAAAACTTCTACTGAGCTCGGAGACGTTACTAAACTGTCGGGTAAAATTTCAACCGATTCAGAAGTCACCCTTGGGTCTGGCAATGACAGACTTAAAGATTGACTCACAGAATTTAATTCAGATTCAGGAGTTGTCGTGCAATCCGTATTCGGCTGTGACCCAAGAATTTCAACACTGTCAGAACTCTTCTTATCACTTTCGCAGGAAATAATTGATATTCTCTTTAAAGCGTGATTCACATCGGATTTCTTAATATCGGTATTTTTCTTCTCACCGTCAGAATTGGGATCACTTGGGGAAGGTGAAGGTTTCTCAAGATCCTTCTTATTGTTTGTTGCTTGAATTTCTTCATTTGCGGATGTTGGATTTAATTTTGTTGGTAACCGTGATTCGCTAAAAGACTCTTCAGCTAGACTATTAGAGACTGAAGTTGATGATGTTAGACAATCAAATGATTCTTGAAGAGATTTCGACTGTTTTATTGGCTTTGTTAAAGCTAGATTATCAATTCTCGAATTTTCAAAGAATGATCCAGTGAAGCTTCCCCACATACTGCTCTGCTGCTTTTGTTGCTCCGAACTTTGTTCAGTTTGCTCAGTTTGCTCCTCACTTTTCAATCCCCAGGTCTCAAAAAAGTCTGTCATTTCAGGCGGAGGAGTTTGTGACGCTTTTTGCTCCTCATCTTTAATGTCCAGGGCTTTGTCTATTGTTTTTTGAGCTTCTTTAAGTGCAGACTTTGCCAGGTTGGCGAAACCCGAGGCATCGAACCAACTCATTATGCCTCATATCTGAAAATAATTAAAACCATTTTCACTTTCTTATTTATTGAATTTTCTTTAAAGCAGTTAAAATATATAGACGTGCAATTTGTATTTTAATGCTCTTACATGTGATTAAAATAACTTAAAAAAAGGAATTATTTGAAATTTGTAAAAGCAGAAAGTGAGGTTATGTTGCAATATTTTGAATGCTATTATTAACCCATTAAATAGCTAAGCTATTGTATAGAAGGAAGCAAAATAGAAAATAATCGACAGATAAATAGAAAAATTGTAATGTGCCTCTAAAACACGTTGGAAGTAAATCTTACTTGGAAAATTTGACACTTTTCACTGTTATGAGTTCTGATATGTAAGGGTGGGGTTATACCTTTTTTAGCAAATTATGTTGTTTAAAAGTAATTTACAACTCTCTGCTATACATTTTAGCATATAAACCTAGTTGTTCTGCACTTAAACTGAAAAATATCAACTATATTTTTGAAGAAAATGCTTGTTTATATTCGTAACAATAGCAGCCGACAAAAAGTCGACTCGACTCGACTCGTTCTCGTTTATCAGCCGTGATCAGTCGACATGTTGACGTTGCACGGTTACGACGTGTTTTCCGTTTGTGCGTCTTTCAAAAAAGGAAAAAAGTGGGAAATACATTAAACTATTTAAATGATTGCACTTCCTGCCTCGACAATAATATAAAAGATAACTAATTATTGCAACAAAAAAGTGTGTGAAACATTATTTATCCTTCAAAATTGTTTAAGAGACATTTCTCGCCACAAACCGGCGTCATTGCGTTAAATCAAAATAAACGCACATAAAATAAAGTTCTCCAAATTATCAACATTAATTTGTAATTAATTAGTTCTATTAATATTATTTATGTTTATATTGAAAAATAAACATAATCAAATAGTTTTTTCTGAATTTAAGGAAATTAGGGTTATCTTTGACGTTTGTCTTGCTGTCAACAATCATAATGAAATATCATTATGATTTGGTATATGAAATATGTATGGAATTTTCATTTAAGAAAAGGAATTTGAATTTTGCTGAATACTGTTGCTTATGATACTTATAAATTAATTGAATATTGAATTATGAAGCAGTGTTACAGGGGAAAATGTGACATTTTGGAAAGTTGAAGTGTACTGAAAATGACTGAAAATTTAGGAAAAGTGGGATCATTTATTAAATGTAGTACCATTATATGATTAAATTGGTTTGACTTTTGTTTATTAAGTGATTGTTAACTATTTTGTTATATATATATAGGCGTACAAGTTTAAGTTCACTATTAATGGCCTTATTCACATCTGCTCCAGTGGCGCAATTGGTTAGCGCACGGTACTTATAAGACAGTTTACGTGAGCAATGCCGGGGTTGTGAGTTCGAGCCTCACCTGGAGCATTTTTTTTATACCTCACTTTGTTAATTTATATATCATTTTTTTATTTTTTATTAATCGACTTTTTCCACTTTTTTCTTTGCTTTAAAATTGTTTCTACTGTTTTCTCAAAAAACAAAAACATTGGGAGTCCCCCTAGAAAAATCATTTTTTCGTTTTTTTTATATAAAGTAAATATTGTTTTTTAATGTATTAAATTTGTTTTTATCAATTTATTTATGTTTCAGGGCGAGTCGATTGAATTCTAGTATTGTAGAACGGCTTGAGAGTTAGTGAAATACCCTCTAATTTGGCACTTCACTTCTGAATAATGATAAAATTAAGCCATTGAATTTTCAAGAAATTACGCTAGAAGCTTTAAAAAATACGAAACTCAAATTAATTCTTTAACCCGGGAAGGTACAATATTCAAATGTTATATATTCATATTTTTAGAAAATTATATTTATGTAATACACTATGTATAGTCAGTACAGTGGTGCAAAATTATTAAAAACAACTATTTATGTACTTACATGAAAATAACTCTTTTTGTAAAGTTTAAAAGCGAACTGCATTTCATAATCACTTTCCAATTAATCGATTAGTATTGCAAGTTAATACCCTATATAACACTAAGTATTCGTCTTTCATTTATTTTATAAAAACTAGTAATAATCTACTTAAACTTATTTAACTTGCAATTTACATTTTTAAAAGTTTACTGCTAACTTACTGCTCAACTTACTCTCAAAATGAGAAACAAATGCAAAATTTATAAATTTGATTCGAAATTTGTTTGTAATTTAATTTACTAAATTATTATTTAGTCCAATAAATAGATAAAATGAAATGAATCATTTATTAAAATTGTCGAAATTATTTCTAATATGCTAAAATTAATGAATTCTAAAATCAAAAAAACTCATTATAATATTGCATCTAATCGCATCGTCAAGTTATTAAAATTCAATAGAGTTGACTATTTCAATCTATGTGATTATTTTTTCTTTATTTTAACATTAAGTTTTATTCGATCTACTTTAGTTTAATGCAAAAGGGTTGCGAAGCTCTCTCGTTATCCACAAATGAACATCTGGGTCAATAAGTGCTGTTGTAGGAGATGAAAGATTTTTTGTGGGACGAGTTTGCTGTCGCTACAACGCAGAAACAGATTCATGTTAATTTCTTTGTTCTATTTTTATAATAATAATATTTTAATAAATTGTAGATTAAACTCATCAGATAATGTTTCTGACATTTCACATTTCTGTGATTGATTATAACTTCATCGGGAGGTTCAACAATGAATTCATTCTTATTATTTAATCATTTTGAATTTAATTTCTTAATTTAATAAAAATTTTTTTCAGATTAGTTGCTTCGAATAGAAATATGTAAAGTGTCAAAAAGGACAATGAAACACGTGCATTTTCTACAAGAGGTGTTAATTTTATTTGGTTTGGGTGTATACATAAGGAATACAATGTCACAGTAAATCTTATGAATAACAATTTGTATTTTATTAAGGATGATCGGAGGTAAGGTTTTAATTTAATATTCGTGCAACGCTAAATGAAAATAAAATGCTTTCAGTGCAAAATGACTATCATTTAACAAAAATTATGACAATGAAGCGTTTGATTTGATCTTTTCTTTTTGTTCTTGCTACAAGTATTGATACAAATGATTCATGAATTCGAAGAAGGTTATTATTTTTAATTTCTTTTTCTGTCAAAAATGAGACTTTTCTCTTCATTCCCATCTTATATATTTTTATTTTTATATTTATTTCAAAAGAAATAACACATTTTATTTCTTTCTGTTTTTAATTGTTTTTAATTCAATAATGTCTTAAACATTCTTATAAGGAAATAATTTCCTATTTTCTAGAATAAAAATCATAATTTATTGTAATTGATTCAACATATGTTGCAATTAACTTTCAACATTGCACTTTAATTTTTTACCTTTATACAATTATAAAAGAATTATGATTTTCAAATTTATTAAAATAAGTTAATTTACTTTTCATTTATACAAGTTCTCAAACTCAAAATACTATACCTAACAAATAGTCATTTATTTTGAACTTTAAAAAGTAATTCAATTTCTCTTATTTAAAAATTTAATCAATGGCTTAACTCGAAATAAATGATTTATGCATATAGTTTAGTAATTTTTAATAACAAGTAATATAAATGAAATATAAACATTGGTTATATGCTTAAGAGAAGATATTGAGATAATTTCGTAATATTTCTAAAATTTAATAAGAAAGTTTTCTTGGTGATTTGAGCACCAGCTCATTCTTTTTTTATTTTATTTATGAATTATCTATGTGTTATTTTTTTAAATATTTTCCAACTCTGACTTTAAACAGTGAATATTCTAATCTTACATATCTCATCACAACAAGTTTTTTTTGGAGTTTGATTTTATGAGTACGGCACTCACGTACAATGTGTAATTCTTACAAAATAAAAATTATCTTCGTCACTTTCACACCTTTTCTTTTCTTTTTTTTTTTTGCAAATTTTCTTTGTAATTATAACACGTTTATTTCTCTTATAATAACTTTTATACCTCTCCGTTAATATTTGCACCATGAACTAGTTTAATGATGTGCAAGTATAAATTTTATTTATTCGCTAAAAGGATTATTCCTTTTTGTTATTAAAAGAAACAAATGGAGAGTTACACATTGAAACTATATTTGATGAAATTAAATAGGAATCTTATTACAGCTATCACTTAAAACAAGTGTTTTGTAAATTCTAAATTTCTGATTGTTGAAAAACTTAATCGAAAAATCTATTTGCTTTTTTAAAAATAAATATGAGATTCCCTTGAAAGTTGAGAGTGATTTAACAATGTACGAAAAGTTTCCTTTGAAAAATTGAAGACTTTATAAAAACGGCAGTAATTGGCACACTCGTGTAACAATATACATATTGTGTGTTAATATGTGGTGTTAGTATGTAAGGCAATAAACCTTTGGGTTTTATTTCTCTTCTTTTATCTGTTTAATATGTATAAGTGTAAAAAAAGGATTTATGTTTCAGAATGTGCAAATAGGTATTTGTTAATGAAGAAATATTCTGTGTGCATCACCGTCGAAAAGGAAGACGAAAATGATAGAAATAATGTCTTCTATATGTAAGGAAAGAATAAAATTCCTCTCTTATATTTGAATAAGAAGAAAAATATTTACTTCTTTTTTTAATTGCCATATTTTCATGGAATAATCTGACTTTTTTTTTATTATTTTGAGCTTCTCGTAAGAGGGGGGAAATTCAAAGAGAAGAGGAGAATCGGACAACTTTGGAATTAATTTTTCATTTGTGTCACAGCCAAGACTGGTGTCGCAAAAAATCTGTTTTTTTTTGTGGTATTTCTATATCAAAATAGACATATCACTCGCGATTTTCGGAGTCTTCTCTTTAAGTTTCAAAGGGACTATATTTTTTTTCACGGCCTGGAGATTTAAATACAATTGAAAAAATAGCCTTAAACAATTGTTAAATACTATACAATCTGACAAACTCGTCAATTTCAATTCTCCGTTTTCTTTTTTAATACATACAATAACAACTCTCGATTTTCTTGAATGTTTTCCTATTTTTGTTTATTGAATTCTTTACTTTCGTTACTATATAGTGAGAATATTCATTGAATCGAGATAAGGTCAGATAATCTTTGCGCGATATAATATTCTATATTTTCTGTCTTTGCTTATACTTTCCAACGCTACAGCACCTACGATCATGTTTTTTAATTAAGTTAAATTAAATAATTTCTATTTGCAGAAAATAGGTGAATATTTGGAAATATAATTTTTTTGTAATGAGGAAATCGTTTCGACTCAATGTTTCCTCAAAATTCAAGAACTTTTTGAAATTAAGATTAGTTAGAATATATTTGTGACGCACTCCCAAGAAAAGTACATAAGAAGCATTTATTGAATATTTTATTTTACTTTTACTCCAAAAATTATAAACATCTATAGAGTTGTGCAAAAAGCTCGATCGAGTATTTCAAGCTTTTCGTTTTTCTAGCAGAGCTGAGCAGAATCAATCCGAACTTGAACCAAATTCCATCCGACACGTGCAGTATTAAACCTAAAATAATTTTGAGCACTTGAATTTTTCGAGCACTCAAATGTTTTTGAGTAACTAAAACTCGAGCCCGGCTCGAGCTCGACCATGCTATTCGAGCTTTTTGCACATCTTTAATAACCTACAATTTTTTGCTTTTTATACACCTTTCTTGAGAGCGCATCGGATTTTTAGTTTTTAAAAATCGTATTTTAAGCCAATTTTCATGAATTTATTCATCTTTTGAATAACTTTTACATTTTTTTCAGAAAATCCTATTTTGTTAATATGGAGAGAGAAAGTTCTTGAATGGAAAGGACTGACCTTTTGAAGAGTTCCTTTAAAATCTTGGCTAAAAATGTCTTCTACTTGCAAAGGATAAATTATTTGTCGATAAAGAAAACTTTTTCTGACGACCCTGTTATTCTTTTTGTGTTAAAGATGCAATTAGAATTTTTTTTGCAAGCACTCATGGTTGATTTATCTACACTGAAGAGAGAATTTGTTTGGTGAGAGTCCAATGCACTAGAAAAAGATTACTATCATCTTGATCCTGTCATCTGAAAATGGTTTTGAGAAATTCAGTGGACGGTGAAGCACAGAATAGTTTCGCTAGACGGTTGTCTCCCGGTCGACGTGAATATATTCCACGTAACCGGGATGTTGCTGTCAGGATGCTCCACCCAATAAAGTTTCTTCCGTCGGCGCTCTTCTAGGCTTGCACTTTTTCGTCCCTTTATAATGAAGTCTTTTTGCGCGTGTCTTTGATCTGAAATTAGAAAACGAAATAAATATTAAAAAGAAGAAGAAGAAGAATTTTTTGAAAATATAAATTTCTATATCCTGATGGAAATTGTGATTCTTGCTGGAATATCAGCATCTCGACGCGATACGTTCTAGTTGTGATAAAACACTTGGCCTCGAGATATCTTGCTAAGGTTCTGGATTAAGGTCACTGACGCCCTCAGGCTTTAAACGCTAAAGCACCATACCAATTTTTCTGTTCATTGTTTCACTGGCAGAAAAGCCTGTGTTTTTATATCGATTCTGCAATAACTCTAAGAATTCTAGTTTTTCAATCTTTATTAAACTAATGTAAAATATATATTTTAGTACTTGTACAGAAAAACAACTAGTGTTTTTTGTGTAGAGAAAGAAAATTTATTATAAATGCTTTTAAGCATCGGATAATACCTCGAATATAAGCTGTCGTTGAATCTAGCTTTCAAAGTATTATATAAAACCCTCCCCGAGTTCTTAAGAGCAACACAAGTTGTTCTCGAGAAACTCATGTTCCTAATTTCTAAATGCCACGAGAGAAGGATGATTTTTTAAATAAATAATTTGATTTTCCAGTTACCTGCTTATCAGGATAGCAAGTAGGCACGCAAAGGCAGAGGCAATTCCAGCGACTCCAGCGACCACCATCCACATCGCTGAAGGTAAAAGTCCCAACAATCTAGCACCACTCCCACAGTTGGCTTCATCGTGACCCGAGGGACAATGCACCCTCCCATCACACCACAAACTCGCTGCAATGCAAGCCCCGAGTTCAGGGCACTTGTGAATGCAGTCGCCAAAGAGACTCGTGTCGTTTTCGACGCCACGTTCAGGAAGACGCAGTTGTCGCCTGAGTGCCGATCGGCTTTTGGAGATCTCGAGCCACGAAGCTGCAGCTTGTCCCGATTCGCGAGCTATGAATTCGACGAGTAGAGCCGGCGGCCTCGGAGGTCCGGGCCACTTTCCCTCGGCGCGACCCAACCATTCCTCGGAGAAGACTTGCACGGTGAAGTCCTTCGCTCCTGGCTCAGCGGGGCAGACGACTTTGAGGAGCTTCGGTGGCCAGCCCGAGTAGAGCAGTATTCGATTGGTCGTGGGACACTTGAAACTGTCGCTCGATTCGAGGACTGACGGCGGCTCCAGGGGCAGCAGCCAGCCCCACGTTAGAACGAACAGGGACCTGTTGTCGCGCGCCTCCACCAACCAGGGAAGACCCTCGCAGTAAATGTCTGGCCGTGAGAGCGGAGGGGAGACGAACCTCAATTCACCACCTGAAACAATCGTGTCACTAATAAAGTCATTCCATTCTTTCCATTTCGTCATTTTCTAATTTTTGGCAAAAATTCAAAATACCTTCTCCACGAACCCTTTGCTTCCTGGGACACTCAGGCGCTCGGATGAGTTCAAAACTGGCGTAGAAGAAGAGCGATTGGAAATCTTCATACGGCGCTTGCTGGTCAACGAAGAAGGTTATTTCCAAAGCCCGTCCCGCTGAAATATGGACGAGGGGAAGGTTCGAGGTGTTGTCACAAAGACAAGCTCGAGGAAGTTTGACGTCTCGCCAAGGCGCCTCGTAGAGAGTGAACCGCGTCTCCCGACTGCCTGCGTCTTGGACACATCTTGGACGTCCGGAGTGTGGGTCGGGTTCACTCGTGCAGGACGTCGTCTCGCCTAGACTCACATTATGAATCGTCAGCCGCACCCGCTCCCCTGGACCGGCCTCGATTCTGTAGCGGCAGTCGAGTTTCGTGGACCCTCCGCGGCCGAACAGCCGCACGTCGTGTGGTGACGCCACGTCCCCGCTCTGCACTTTGCGCCATATCCTGCTGCACGGCCCGTCGCCCCAAGGCTCGCCTCCTTGCAGTGTCGAGATGAATTCGTACCGGGCCTGGAATAGGAGCGCTACTTCGTCGAGTTCGATGTGGCAAAAAACTAAGCAGGGTAAATGACAAAATTCACGATTACAACGAAACAAAATCGTAAATTAACCATCTCGAGAAAATGATAAAGCTGCTCTGTTCATCACGCGACTGAAATTTTATGATAAATTTTTACACGCGACACGTTTCAAATCTCAGTCGGAAAAATCATCTAAACCTCGTTGCTTCATTTTCTTTAAATCTGCAATTAGATTATATAATACTCTTGCTTGGAATGAACTTGAACTATCGGCGACCAAAAAGGATTACGCGTGACTTTCGTTGGCCCCGCGATCAGCGAGTTTCCGCCTCATTTTATTCAAAAATTCACCAACAACACAAATTTCAATGGATTTCTATGATTATTATTTTAAAATTCTCAGAAAGGATTGAACTCAAACATGTCACTGCAGAATCGTGTCAATTTCTTAAAATAACCTTAAAAAATGTCAAAAACTAAGAGAATTACAGAAACATGATTGTATAAATTTGTTGCTTATTGCAAATACTCAAAAGCCAAACACTACAAATTTTTTTAAATCCTTAAGTATAAAATTAGTACCAGATATTAAAAAATAAAAATGGCGCATAAATTTTCCGAATATTGCTAAATACTAACGAAACTTATTATATGAAAATTTTTGAGATAACTGGTTACGAAAATATAGGGTTTAAATTAAAGATTCCAGATAGCGCGTAACCTTGCAGCAATCTTGCGGGTAATTTTGCTGCAAGGTTAAAATGGCCCACCTTGCAACCATATGTTTCTATAATTCTCTTAGTTACACGGAGAACAATTTTCTGTTAATGATTACAATAGTCGAACAGTACTGTTCGGATATGTGTTCACTTTTTGTAATGCCTAAAGTAGCTTCGTTTTAACTATTCTGTAAGTCGAATGTACTTATTAAAAATTTATTTGAAATTAATACGATCTAAATATAAGTGATCACAAAGTCTATGTGACTGATTACAATAGTCTACATTAAAAGGAAATCTTGGATTCTATTCACATTAGCAGCAGTCTAAGGGAATCAGTGCTACAGACAGTCGTAGTCATTACAAGAGGACTATATATTGTAAAATAAGGTGATGACCGGCTATTATTTTACTATAGTCCTTTGTAAATACTAATATTGATACATTTCTGATTACAAATGACTGTAGTAAAGTAAAAAAGAAAATTTTCAACTAAAATAAAACTTTTTTTAATTAGTGACTTTTAATCATATGCTAGTCAGTGAACAGTGAGCGCCTCTGGGCCACTCATGCTGATTCCACACTTACCCAGTCGCTCCGTTTTTCCGTGGCGCTTCGCGTGAGACAGAAAAAGATAGAGATAGTCTCTGTCTTTTTCTATCTCACGTAAAGCACCACGGAAAAGCGGAGCGCTGGGTAAGTGTGGAATCAGCATAAAGGTGTCGCCCAGGAAGGAAGAGTAAGGAGACCGAACTCTGCTTCTACAAATGTCTGAGAAATATGCACGAAAAGTGCCAGACTCACTGTGTTCTAGTTGATCACCAATTAAGTCGATCATGCGCACTGAACTAAAGTTCAGTGTTGACATAGATGAAAAGTGTGGTTATGTCAAGGTAAATATTATATAGTTTAAAAAGTGTTAATTTTAAAAGCAAATTTATTTATTTGCAATTGTGATATTATTTAGATTTTCAAAATAATAAAATTTAATAATATATTTATGAAAAGGGAAAAATTTTGCGAAAATGGTTAAGAAGAATTGTGTTTATAACTAGAGTATATTTACATACCGTAGAAGAATAGAAGAGACTAATGTTTTTAGACTCTTTTTCTTTCTTTACATCCTGGCAGACAACACGACATTTTTTAAATAAAATAAATAAATAATTATTAAAACGAAATGTATAGTATAATTATGTATGTATCTCACTAAGACCGGCTAAATGTAAACATTAGATCTTACATCTCACTCGCACAATTTTTACGAGAAACAGAGACACAACACAGCTTATGCGCATGATCAACTTAATTGGAGGTCGATTAGAACGCAGTGAGCCTGGCACTTTTCGTGCATATTTCTCTGAGATTTTTAAAGCGCTTTCTACACAGAGTTCGGTCTCCTTACTCTTCCTTCCTGGTGTCGCCATCCGGGCGCGCGGAGGTGCAACCGGGGATCCAAGATGGGTCTCTGGTTGAACCACCGCGCACCCGTAATGAGACACGGTGGAGGAGAGAGCGAAATTTAAAAAAGAGAATAAATGAAAGATAATTAAATAAGTAATAATAGTAATTAAATTAATTTAGATTTTTATTTTCGCGCGTTTTAAGAATCTAAAAATGTGAGAAACAACCCTGGGAGTGGGATTGGTAAGAAATTGAACGCAACTAAAAGGAGGGGGACATTTTAAAGCTCTCGAAAGAGATTTTATAAGGTCCACCCGAAGAGCATTGAATCTGGGACAGGCCCACAATATATGGTCTAGATCTTCTTCTATATTAGGACAATGTGGGCAATCGCCCGACTGGATGTAATTCTTTCTAGCAAGACTCGCGTTCAGGTTGTAGTGATTAGCTCTCGCGCGGCATATTGAAACGATCCATAGTCTGCGAGCTGTAAAGTTCGCAAACCATGGTTTTTTACGCGGTTTGTAATAAAGTTGGGTATAATGAATACCCTTGTTTTTACCTACATCTTTAAAGAAAGAGTTACAACTGTCGAATAATTGTTTTTTGGCGAGGCAAAAGAAGTCAGAAAAAGGGAGAGTTATGCTAACTAAATCTGGGTTGGCAGTTGCGTCTTTGGCCGCAACGTCCGCTTTTTCATTACCTTCAATACCTGAATGACCTGGAACCCAAACATGAGTTGTTGGACGATTCAGGTTGTTGAGAATTCTTAATCTATTTCTAATTGCAAAGATTATGTAAGATTTTATTTTGTATGTATTTTTTGAAGCTAAATTGTTAAGGACACTAAGAGAGTAAAAAAAATAACTGTAATAGAGAGATGAGAACTAATTATAATATAATCTAGGCAAAATAAAATTGCAAATGCTTCTAATGAAAAAATTGACGAGTGATCTGAAATTTTAAATTTGGAAATTAAATTTAGAGAAGGGCAGACAAAGGCGCAACCTGACAAATGGTCCATATCAGATTTGGAGCCATCAGTGAAGAAAAGGGTGTGATTGGGGAAATTAAAGTTAATTAAGTCCTTAAATACGATAGATGGATTACATGAATTTTGTAATGAGTGACCCCAGTTAAGGACAATCCCAGTAAACGAAAACTAATTGAAATGAATTAAAAAGAATTCACAAAGAGCTTTCGTGAATCCCGCTTTGTGACAAATACGAATTGGAGCCATGATGCAATTTTCCTGAATTCGTGAAACTGTATTGAACTTCCGAACCTTCTATCCGTACCAATTCACTGGACAAATTTTAAGCCTTTAATTTTTTTCAATTCGTTAGCACGAATTCAATGCATTCCTTGGCCATTTCTTTCGAATGCGAATTCGTTTGGACAAATTGGTACATATTGAATTAAATTCAATTGAATATACAAAGAGCTTGAGTGAATCCCGCTTTGTGACAAATACGAATTGGAGCCTACCAAAAATGTTAATTCATTTCAATTCATTTGAATTAGTTTTTTTTTACTGGGATCTGGGGAGTGAATGAGTGGTCCTCAAAGAGGAACTCAAAGTAAGGGTCAAGGTCCTTACTTCTAATTAGTTGGCTGTAAATTTTTGATTTCTCGTATGCGATTAAAAGGGGGTACCAATAACGCGAGAAAGCTCTGGAAGTTTATTACTTAATGGATGAGTTGAATTTGAGAAGACTCTGTACAGATATTTTTTAGCAAGGAAGTTAAATCTTGATCTTAAAGGGGGTTCACAACATTCAGCTAACATTACATTAATAGGAGTGCTCTGTCTATAGCCTACGGCTAGTCTCAGAGCTTGATTACGTACTTTTTCTAAACGGGAGAAATTTTTATGAGATTTAAAATTTGAAGCTTGTGAACCATAATCGATAGGACTTCTAAGTAATGAATCATAAATACGGAGGAGCAGATGTGGGTCCGCTCCCCACCAAGTGCCTCTAAGAACTTTTAATACATTTAGAATCTTTCTTCCTTTGTCACATAGATAGTTAAAATGAGTATCGGAGGAACCTGATTCATGAAAATATACACCAAGATATTCAACTGTGGGAGATGGTTTAATAACTATTTCGTTTAAGGTTAAAAAAAGATTAGGGTCTTCTGAATTAATCTTTTTGTTACTAAAGATGATATATTTAGTTTTAGATGGGCAAACTTCCAGGCCCTTATCGGCCAAAAATTCGGAAATTATGTTAAGCAATTTTGAAGAGAAGTAACAATTTGATTGAGGTCAGGGGAGCGACAAGTGACGGATAAGTCATCCGCGAATTCGTACAGTTCACAGTCTGCAGGAATAATGGTGTTGAGGTTTCTGGTGTAAATTAATTGGACTAAGTACACCGAAAAAAATCTCGATGGTATTATTAACTATGACTCTATAGTTAATCTTAATCTAGTAAAAGTAATAAGGATTCCTAATCATTATGGTTAGTATCGCTAGGTTGATTCAACAAATTCAAGCCTGGCAAAAACAACCCTGCAAATCCTAGTCAAATTGACTAGGATTTTAGTAATTTTGCCTATTTCCATAATGCGCACGCGTCTGTTTCTGTTCTGACAGTGTTTACCTCTATATCTGTCGCGTCATTTATCGTGATTTCGTAAAACGATTTTTTATCATTACTCGCGTCTATTTTTTGTACATAAAATGGAGTTCTTACATACATCAAAATTGCTGGTTTCTCGGAACCTCTGGAAATATAGATAGTCCATGTTTTAGAAAGTAAACTATTTAATTATATTAGTCAATTCTTTCAGACTTTTTTGGTTAGGTTTCAATATAAATCGTCGAAATTTTTACGCACGTGGTGACAACATTTTTACT